GAAAATTAAAAAGATTTTTCTAGAAATTATAATTTACCTGAACTAGCTCCATACTAGAGACTTGAATATCAAAGGGTTCAGTTCCTGGACTAACGATTTTAACGGTAAATCCCATATCTTGAATGAAAACAATTTCTTGCTCAGTTCCAGCATCTTTATCACCATCTTCTTTTTCGCTCTTATCATTCTTTTTGTTCTTGTCTTCTTCTTTTTCCTTCTCTTTTTCTTTTTCATTTCCTTTTTCTTTCGTTGCTTCAACTTCACCTTTTTCAACAACATTTTTCGCAGCTGTACTCGTACTTCCGGTTTCTTCTATAGTTTCCTTCATATCTAAACATATGAATATAGAAATTTTTATTTAAATATTTGGATTTCTTGAAAATATTGAAAAATAATAATAACTAATTTTGTATTGAAATGTAGTAAAAATGTTTATTGAAACATTACGTTAATAAATAATTTCAGATAAAGTCATTTAAATATTAAAAATAGATAACAAAATATTTCTGTCTTTAATTTACATAATATAAATATATCACTTGATAGATATTTGAATAAATGATTTTTAAATTGAATATAATATGAATATTTTATTATCATTTTTTTATTATTATTTTTTATTGTATAAGTTTTATTTATATTAATCTTGATTTTCTAAACTTATTTTTGTAATTTAAAATATAATAGTATTGAAATAGTATTCAATAAATATTTGATTAGTAAAGAATTAAGTAATAATAGAATTTTATAATTTATTAAATAATTTTTAAGAATTAAATTAAGAAAAACAATAAAATAGCAGTTCTAATTAAGAAAGCAAAGTTCTAATTAATACATAATATATCATATATTATTCAATATTTTTTTCTTCTAAGATAGATATTATTCTGGATATTAACTTTTGTTGATCTTTTATGATTATAACGATATTAATAATTCTGTAATTATATGAATGTTAATCGAATATATATATATATATATTTATATATTTACATATTCGAATATATATCGAATATATAAATATTCGAATATATTTACATATTCATATTTCTATAGAAGCAGAATGCATTTTCGAACAGATACGATAGTGGATATCCGTGGGACCGCTACTTGCATTCACCAATGTACTTATAAATAAACGGCAATGTAAATAGTTCAGACTCAAATGCCGTACTAATTTTATCAATACTATGTTTGCGATATACATCCATTTCTGGTATATGTCAATCTTAAACAATTACTATAATACTAACTACAATTAGCAAAATAGCTCATCAATGATTATTGTGATTCTGTGTTGATGCTACAAATTTATTTTTCTATTTGCTGTATATTTTTTTAAATTTATATAATATTTTTAAAGCATTATGGAATAAAGCATTATGATCAATGAATTATTATTAATAAGCATATGAATGCAAAAAAATAATATTATGTATATATTAAAACTAATTCTTTATTACATTTATTTTCTTTAACGATTATCAATTATTCAATGAATAATCTGCGATCAAAATTTTATTAATCTTATTAATTTTACAGATTTACAAGAATTAAGATCAGAAAAAAATAAAAGACGAATATGCATAGAACATTTTAAAATAATTTATCTTTCTTTATTTTATTTTGTGTAACAATATTATTATAATTTTAATATTTTATGAAGATTAAATAAATGGATTGAATAAATTAAATAATCGATAAAAGAAAATTATTTTAAAAAAAAAATCAATATAAAATTTACATAAAGTTACAATAAAATATTTTATTAGTTTTATTTTATTCATAATAAGTTTCTTATCATGTTTTGAAAATCTTTATATATTTCTATGAATATTTATATCCACATACTTCTAAGTTAGATCAATTTATCTTATAAACCAATTGTTTTATCGCAGTCTTATCACTTATTTTACTATTTCATCAAAGTTTTCTTTTTTTTGAATTCTTTATCAAAAATAAAGATAAGAAATTTAACCGTGAAAAAAAACTAAAATAAAAAAATAAAAATATATAAAAAAAGAATAATTTTTTCTTTCATTTTCATTTTAATTTGCTTATTTTGTAAAAATATTTTCCAAAATTTTTTTTTAAATTAAAAGAAATTTTACATTAATATAAAATTTTGTAAAAAAAATACTTATTGATAATAAATAATTAAATATATTATTACAAGCTTTACAATTACAAAAAATTATAAATTATAAAATTAAACAAAAATTATTAATATAACTATTACTATATATATTATATATGTATTATATATTATTATAGATTAAATAGATTATATAGATTAAATAAAAAAAAAATAAAAAAATAAATATTAATAAAAAGAATTAATTAAACATTATTAAATATATTAAATATATTTTTTTGTTCAAATTAAATAAAAGGATTTAAACATCGATTTAAGATAAGATCAAACAAGGGAAGAATTATAATTTTACAATATTTTACAAACATAAGCATTTAAATCGATATATTATAAATATCAAATTTATATTAATTAATATCAATTATTTATTCAAATATATCAGATATTATTCGTTTCATTATTATTTTCAAGGAAGCTTGATAAATTTCGAAATCATTTATACTGTAACTATAAATAAATTGATAAGAATCATTAAATCTGAACAAAATAGTTTTAATATTAAAAACATAATATTAACTGAATATATATATATGTACACAATGTACTATTTGAAAAAATATTTAGATATAAAAACTTTTATAATAAAAAAATAATATATATATATATATATATATATATATATATANTATATATATACAGAGAGAGAGAGGGGGGGAGTAAAATAATCGATAATTTATGTTTGTATTAATTACAATATACAAATTTAATATATTAAATTTCAAAATTATGTGAAATATTTTAGTAAAATATTTTATCAGAATCAAAGATGAAAGGCAACATGTCAGAAAAAATACCGATAACCCCTGTTATCGATAATTCTTTGCAATTCACTATTGTTCTTTCAAAACACGTGATTCTTTATGGAACCATTACTGTCTAGTAATATTTTTAATTTTTATTATTTTCAAATATTATAAAAAGAATTTTTTATTATAATTAAAAAAATAAATATAAATATAATTATGAAACAATTCTAAAAAAATTATATTTACGATGTTTATAATAATATATTAATATATATTGCTTTAAACAAATAATTTTTAATTACGATTATTAAATTAATTACAAAAAATAAATTTCATATTAAATAGTTTAATTATAAAATTATATATTAATTAAATAAACTACAATTAATTAAATATTTTATTTAGTTATGTTTTTTATGATTTTTTTATGATTTTAAATTTTCGTGTTTTTACGCCTATGCATAAGAGGTCATTAACATGCACGTGTTTTTCTTCGATTTTTTTTTACAAAATGAAAGTTCTAAGAAAAAAAATAATAAATTAATAGAACAGATCTATTCAAAATGATAAATAACTTTATTCTATTGAAAATTTATGTTTTTCTCAAATTATATTTGATTTTTATTGATTATGAAATTTTGAAAACGGGTTATTATAAAATGTAACGGGTGTTATAAAATCATGAAAAATTAAAATATTATTTTAACACAAAATAAAATACAATTATACAATATTATAATTTATATAATTCTTATTATGTAGATATTGTATAATTATTACACTCTATGTAACCATGTATAATGAAAATCACTAAATAAAATATATATTATTTACACGATAAAAATTATTACTAATTTAATACATAATTAAAAATAACCATTTTAAACATAATAAAAACAAATATAAGATATAAAAATAAAAATAAAGTGATTACATTCACATAAAGATAATTTTGAAACATTAAAGTGAGATGTAACAAAATTAATGATTAAACAGGGCAGGTAACATGGTTTCATCATCCAGGGAAAAATTAATCACGTGTTTCAAAGAGATTAATTTTCATCATATTTTGATTATGGATATAACTTGATAATAATACAAAATAGGAAAAACAGAATGAAAATAATTAAATATATAAATACATTAATTTAAAGATGCATTTTCCAAAGAAAAAACATGTCAAAAATACGTTCATTCGTTCTTGTGTAACATCTTGCTAACGGGTAAAAATATTGAAAGAAAAAAATCATAATTTTATAATAATTATAATCATAAACGATAAAAATTCGTCTGCTATCGCGAATCATGTCTTCTGCTACTTTCTCTATTGTAAAACTTGTAACTCACATGACCCTGCAATACATAGATTCGCGCAATTCGCGCGTTACATAACATCAAGGGCCCGGCTTTTGGCTAAAGCGGCATCGTTAAAGGCTCACATTAAAACGAACAGAACATGGTAACCTGACCAAATCATTATATAACACAAGTGGTTACATAGTTTAACCATAAAAAATGAGAAAACTATTACTCGTTGATTATAAAATTAACATATACTAACCAGTATTCGTTCGGTTCTCATTACCATTTAACAGAGGAATTTTCATACTCCCATTTTCAGTAGAGGTCTCAATTTGTGCGCCCAATGTCATCTTTCTTTGACAATCTCTTTCAAATTTTCACGACTCTAGAAACTAACACGTTCTTATTATTCACAGTAACACGCGTGTACACTTTTTTAGAAATTATACTCACAACGACGTCCCGATTCTTTTCACGAGGTAACACACTAACTCTGAGGTGCTCCGAGCCGCTTTTCTCTATTGCACGTGCGTTTCGAACGAAGTACAAAGTCTAATATATATGATTGGTCTTCTTGTCTAGCAGATTATTGAATGAAAATTTCTGATTGGAGTTTTTGATCACGTGATCCACCCCTTGTATTTTTTAAACGTTTATTTGTCGTTGCTGATGTATCAAATGATGCAGTTCCTTTTGAAGTTGAATGTTATTGGAGCATTTTTTGATTGGTAACAATTGATTGGTAGAAATAGAGATATTTTAAGAATCTAGAAAACGAAATTAAAATTACTAGATATCAGATTGCTTACCTTACGTGCTATTCATTTGAATAAGTGATAGTCTGTACTTTGTTTAAAAAACGTGTTATAGATCAATAAAAATTTATTTCTCAGAAAAAAAAAATAAATTAAGAAAATTGAAAAAACCTTAACGTTTTGTCAAACAAATCCATATCAAACTGTACAAAAGTAAGGTTAAGCGTCTGAAAGAATGTCGATAGAAGAACAGTCAAATTTACGTCTAGGACCTGATCCTAATATCATTTATCCAATTCAAGTACAATATTGTGGAAACTGCTCTCTTCCTATTGAGGTAAGGTAATTTTTTATAATTCAAATATTTGATATGTGAAATTCATATTATATGACAAAATAATAATCTTTGGATTTTTTAATTTTAATTTTTACTTGTATCACAGTATTGTGAATATTATCCAGAATATGAAAAATGTAAGCAATGGTTAGAAAGAAATTTACCAACAGAATTTGAAAAAGTTAAATTAGGTAAATATAATTTTTATATAAAATCATTCTCATAGTTATTTATAAATTATAAATTTTATTTTTTTATAATTTTAACTATTTATATGTAGTAGAAGATAATAATACAGAAGTAGGTGGAGGTGAAGATGAAAAAAAAAGACAAAAACGAGGTGGTAAAGGTATGCTTAAAACAAAGAAAAAAGAAGATGTACCAAAATTAGTGACTGTATCTAGAGCACCTAGAGGGAAAAAGAAATCAGTTACTGTTGTTACAGGTCTTAGCACTTTTGGTAATATAAAATATTTATTTAAACTTTATATTTAAAATAATTGTAGCTGTTAAATTAAAGTCTTATTTACATTAATTTATAGATATAGATTTAAAAGTAGCTGCAAAATTTTTTGGTAGTAAATTTGCATGTGGATCTAGTGTAACAGGAGATGATGAAATAGTTATACAAGGAGATGTGAAAGATGAATTATTTGAAGTAATTCCAGAAAAATGGCCACAAGTAAGAGTGATATATATTAATATATATAGTTAATATATACATAATATTAATAATATATATAATATATACATTATATAATATATACATATTATATAAATTATAATATTTAATATTTAATATAACTTCAGATTGATGAAGATTCTATAGATGATCTTGGGGACCAGAAGAGATAATGAGTCAACCAAAAATTTATTTGCATAATGTATTTAATATTATATCATTTTCATTTCTTTGTTTGCTATAAATAAAATGTACATAAAATATATAAAATGTTTTTAAAAAATTTGTAAAGTTAAAATAGAAAAATCATATTATCCATCTTGTTCATTTTCATTTAAATAATTTGCTACTACTTGAAGTAAAGAATCTACTTCTTCATCAGTCAAACGATCTTCACTATCTTCTACAATCTAAAAAATATATGTATATATAATTTTTTATTACATATTTTTTATAATATATTTTAGATATATTATATTATATTTTAAATATATTACCAATTGTATTTCAAGAGGTGTTTTAGGACATACATTTAAAAGAGTTAATATTTCACATTTTGTAAGTTTGAAAGGTTCCATTGCTCTTAAAAAGTCTTTAATTTTTTCTGGAGATTGGATTTTACATGAAGTATTTTCTAAATATCTAATAGTTTGATATGTTATACTTGCTAATTGATTTTGTTTCATTTTTTGTTTTTTATTTGCCTTTATATTCTGTAGAATATTCAGAACTTCATAGTTACTTAAGTATGCTGAACATTCCTTAAGTCTAAAATGAAATTTATTTTAATTATTTTTAATATTTATTCATTAAAATAATTATAAATATAAAAAATAAGTACTTACACTTCCATATTGAATATTTAAACAATATATATTAGTACTTAAAAAATTACAACGTAAATATGTGAGGTTATGTTACTATTATATTTTATTATAATTTAAACATAATATAATGTACAAATTTATTAAAATTTATAAATATAATTTTTTACAAGGTTATTTATTATAACAAAGAATATGTTACAAATTATTTAATAAAAATCTAAGATTTAATCTTTTGATAAAGAGGAGTAGTTATTAAAATGTAGTATATTAAAGTGTAGTTACAAAATTATTTTAGTACACGTAAAGCATAAGATTTGAATTCCGCGCTTAATTATTAATATTTTTAGATAATATACATATATATATTTTCTTTTTCACATAAAATTTATATTTCATAAATATAAGTATATTTTATATATATATCTTTGAATATATTTAAAATAATTTATACAGAACAATAAAATAATTTTCTAAATAATAGTTAATTATTATTCATTATTGTTATTAATTTTTTTTTTAATGTATCTGATGATTTTAATAAAAATTTAATATATAATTTTATGATTTGAAAAAAATGAACAATAAACAAAAAAATTTCGTTTTAAATTGTATTTATGCATTCATTCTACTTTTAATATTGCATAAAAATTTCTAAATCAATTTTAGAGTTTTGAAATTGATTAAGAAGCCATTCAAAAAATATGTATACACGTTCATTATAATCACTTTTACGGAATGGTTTGTCTAAATAACATATTTAAATATGTGAAGATAATATAAATGCTTGATTTTAACATACAAAATGCGTGTATATGATATGCGCTCTACGATTCATAGTTAATTGTGGTTATTTTATAAGTCTTATAAAAATGTAAGTTGATTAATCATAGTTAATAGTTTTAAGGGCTTTTAAATTTTTTTAAAAATTCGATAATTATAAAAATAAAATATGCTAATTATATTTATAATATTATTTAATACATTTAATATTTATGATATATATATTTATAATATTTGGAATAAATTATTTAAAAAAATAGTATACATACGCAATACATATAAATAAAAAATAGAAATATTATTTTTTATAATATTTTATTTTTTCTTATAATTTAATTGTTTATTTAAAATAAAATATATAATAAAATAATTTTATTATTTTAATATAATGAATATATATAATAAATATAAAATAAATTTATTTTTAATTGAAAAATGTATTATAAAATTTTTATTAAATTATTAAATTATTAAAAATTTTTAAAATATTTTAATTGTAATTATTTTTTTTAATTGAAATAATTTTTAATAGAATTATATTTAAAATTGTATTTATTATTAACAATGACATAATAAAAAACATTTAATTAAAAATATTATTTTCATATGAAATTTTTTTCATATCATTGTATATTTTTCTTTAAATTTTTTAAAAAATAAAATAAAAAAAATATTTTTGGTGATGTTATAACTTGTATAAAATTTTATATTCTTTTATGAACAAATTTAAAGAAATTTTAGGTTACGAGTTACGGGCACCTGATAGAATAGTCACATGCCTATGAATTAACACGACCTCTATGCGCGATTGTCTGACATTTTGCGAAGGTAACTGTGAACTGAGTGCGTATTCCATTGTGTTTTGTATTTTCGATATACTCGACCATCAGTGTCGTGGTACGAGTTAATGATCGATGTGATTTATAAGAGTGGACACAATGTAGATCGATGTTATTTATGTTGCTAAAAGCATTGCTGCAGAAAAATAACTATACCATACGAAAATTCTACGGAGCGCAAAATTTCTTATAACGCGTATCGATCTCTCCGTAGGCAATGCATCTTCCTTGCCTGTGCTATGTTTATAAACTGTTGACCTTGCTTGTCGAAGATCGATGAAAAATCCTCGATCGCCGAAAAATTACGATCAAGAATGGAAATTGTCGGCGATTACGAATACAATACGAAAGATCTGATAGGCCACGGCGCATTCGCTGTGGTCTTCAGAGGTAGACATCGTAAAGTGAGTCTGTTTTTTCTTCTTTTTTTATGGAAACAAATATGATCACTGATAAAATTACCAAAAATTATTCATTCAAATATTGATTATGGGAGTTATATATATTTCTTTTTTTTTTAGAAACCAAATTTTGTAGTGGCAATCAAAAGTATCACGAAAAAAAGTTTGGCGAAATCACAGAATCTGCTTGGAAAAGAAATTAAGATTCTGAAGGTTTGAAGCTGATATTTTTCTATATTTCTAAATAGAAATTGTATTGTATTTATTTTATAATAAGAAAAATGTCACTGTTTACGTTACATATACAAAAAATTGTTTTTATTTAATGTATAAAACAGAATTTTTTTTATATATTATTTACCTAAAATAATAAATTGTAAATGCATATTTATTTATTTATATAAATTTATTATATAAATTTTCATTTTATATTCATTAATAATCAATTAATAATAATTATATCATTATAATATTAATTATTAATAAAACAAATTATAATGATAATATATATAGTATATATATATATATATTATTATAATTTATATTATAATTTATATTTTATGATAATTTAATATGTAAATTTTTTAGAAAAAATAAGAATCATCTCTAATATGATAAAAATGTTACGTTACTTTAATTCATATATTGTTTCAATATTTCAATATTTTTTTATTTTAATAATTATATAATACATTTAATTCTTTACTTAATATTATGTTTTAGGAATTAACAGAATTACATCATGAAAATGTTGTTGCATTGTTGGATTGTAAGGTTAGTATAATAAAAATTAATATGTAATATTGACATTAATAAAAATAAAATATTTATATAAATATTAAATAATAATTAATATTGATATAATTTTTTGTTTATTATGAATTTATTGTTTAGGAGTCTAATTATAATGTCTTCCTCGTTATGGAGTATTGTAATGGTGGAGATTTAGCTGATTATTTAAGTGGTATGTTTTCTAAAAAATATATTATTAGAATATTTAATTTCTAAAATTTTAATATCTATTAAAGCAATTGTATTTAATCTATTTCATTTTTTATTAATTTTTTTTAGCAAAAGGCACTCTTTCTGAAGATACTATTAGAGTATTTTTAAAACAATTAGCAGGTGCAATGAAAGCACTACATGCCAAAGGTGTAGTCCACAGAGATCTTAAACCACAAAATATTTTACTCAGTCATAATTGTGGTAAAGCTTGTCCACAACCACATCAAATAACATTAAAAATTGGTAAATATTTATTCATTTTCTTTTTAATTTAAAGATCTATTGAAGATATATTTAAAAATTATTAAAATAACAATACAGCATATTATTTTTTTGTTATTAAAAAATGAAAATTTTTAAAGCATGTTATTTAATTTTCCAGCGGATTTTGGTTTTGCAAGATTTTTACAAGATGGTGTAATGGCTGCAACATTGTGTGGATCACCAATGTATATGGCACCAGAAGTTATAATGTCACTTCAATATGATGCAAAAGCAGATCTTTGGTCTTTAGGAACAATAGTTTTTCAGTGTCTTACTGGGAAAGCTCCATTTCAAGCTCACACACCTCAAGCTTTAAAATTATTTTATGAAAAAAATGCAAATCTTGGACCTAAGTATGTTACAATATATGTATCATATTTTTATCATGAAAAAAAAACTGTATTAGTTTTATTATGTTTTAATTTCTTATATTTTAGAATTCCTCCTGGAACTTCACCTGAACTATCAGATCTCCTAATGGGTTTATTAAGACGTAATGCTAGAGATCGTATGCCCTTTGATGAATTTTTTGGACATCCTTTCCTTCAAGGTTCTAGAGAAAGTCCCAGTCCAGTTCCTGCTGAACTCCCTGCTTCTCCAGGAACATTAACAATTCAAGAAGGAACTACAGTTATAAGATCAGAACCAGAAACAACTAGTCCGTGTTCTAGTCCTGAAGATGACTTTGTGCTTGTACCAAGTGATCTCAGTAGTGACACAGACAATAATCCTAATACGCAACAAGTAAAGTATGTATTTTAATAATAACACAATAATACTCTACAAATATATTTTTATCATTATTATATATGTAATATTATTATTAATTAATTAGGTATATTAAACAAGCTAGTAGAGAGGCAGTGAGTCCACCACGACCATGTTTTCTTCCTATTTCGGAGCCAATTCCTGTTCCATCACAAAGAAGTATTGCACAACCATCATCTCCTTCTACTAATATAAGATCAGGAAGCAGTGTTGTTCCACGCTCGCAACCAATAAGCATGAAACGTAGTGTGGATACTCATAGAAGTCATGCTCCTGATATTGGCTCTCTTAGTCCACCTAGTGTTCAATTTGTAATTGGTACACCACCCAGTAGAAGGTATATAAATATTATATTGATATAGATTGTTTTATATTTTTATATATTTTATTTTATATTATTTTATAATTATGATTTTATAAAATAATATATATCATTATTTATTATTTATTATCATTATTATCAAACTGATTATTTTTAGATTGAGTGAAACACCTCCACCGCCAAATACATGGCAAGTTAGTCCTGTTGCAAGGCATTCACATACTTCGAGTGGAACGTCACCATTACGGCGTTCAACTGGAAATAATAGTGCATCCTCACCACTGTTAACAGGACCATTAGCAGTGTTAGGTTCTCCTACATCAAGAGCATTTCAGGATAATAATAACACATTGAGGCATTCACCAGTTATTCCTTTTGGTACAAGAGCAGTTACTCTTCCTGAAATATCTGGTAGATAATTATATATTTCTAAGTTATTATAATAATAAATATAATAGAAATAATATATATAATTATAATATAAATAACTATAATAATAAATATTTTATATTAAATTCGTTAATATAATTTATACTTATTTATTAAATGTATTTGTAGAAGCGGGTAATTTTCAAAATCTTCTACCAGAAGTAAATCCTACAATAACAGATGATCGACCATTGACATTTATTGCACCCGAACTTCCAGAAGAAACGCTTTTAGAGCGGGAACACAACGAAATATTAGCAAAGTTAAATTTTGTTGTTGCATTATGCGAATGTGTATGTGAAGTAGCAAGGACAAGAGCAGGACCTTTAGGTGCACCTTTGGGTGGTATTGAACAAGCAAGCACTGCTGCAACAAGAAGAAGAGCAGAACAAGTAATTTTACTTGTTAGAGCTCTTCAGTGGCTTAGTTCTGGATTAAGTCTAGCAACACAACAACTTAAGGCTGGCAGATTACAGCCAACTGCCAGTGTAAAAGAAGGTAATTTTCATTTGTTAATAATTATTATATATGACATATAATAATATTAAAAATAATTATATTTCAGTTGTGAATACAATGAATGAAAAATTCAGAACGTGCCTCACAGAATGTAAACAGCTCAATAGTGTAGGGCTTCTTCATCAGACAGGAGCTACTGCAGATAAGATTCTTTATAATCATGCCATTCAAATGGTAAGTATATGATTAATTTTTTTTTTATAGATAAGTTAAATGTATTTATTTCTAAACTATTTTTTTATTTAATAGTGTCAATCAGCAGCATTAGATGAATTGTTTGGTAATCCTGCAGAATGTTTTCAACGATATCACACAGCACAGATATTACTGCATTCTTTATCACAACATGTCAGCCATAGTCAAGATAGAGCTCTCCTTATTAAATGTAATTTATTTTTTTTTTTTACCAAAAAATGTTAGAATTCTTTACTTTAGAATTAATTTTTTTTTTTATTTAACATCATATTTTAAATCAAAAAAAAATAATATACATATACATGCGCATCATTTGTTTCATTTGTTTCATTTATAGATAAAGATGCTGTTGAGAAACGTTTATATGTACTTCAACAACAAGGCTACATTTATGCAACAGATCCAACATAGCGCTTGTGAAAATTGGCAACAGACTGCAGTGACCCGCCCAAATCCATACCATTCTCAATATCTCTTTTCTGTAAGATATTCTGCCCTATTCTGTATAAAAACTGTTAATTCATTGATCATTATGATCATATTACGAAGATTACATTGTAGAAATAAATTTAAAATTACATATATAGTAAATTTTGTTACACAGAATAGGGTAGATTACTCCATGAAAGAGTATGAAAGTGATTCTGTACAAGTTTCTTTATATGATTTATTAATGAATACAAATAATGAATTATAATTATATATATATAATATATATATTATATTATATATATATTGTAATGTACGTATGGTTGATTAACTAACCTTTATTTCATATCAAACAATAAATATGTCTATACTAATAGCATTGTGCATTCAATGCAAGATAGTTTCTTATTAAATAATAATGATATAATAACTGTAAAAAAAAAGTAAAATATTATTTTTATTAGATGATCTACATTAATATTATTTGGTACAGAAGTATCAAATATATTATTCTTTTTTTTCATTTGCACTTGCTTCAATGCTTGGTTTGTTATTCTTGTAAATTGTATAATTTAATGCTGTAGCAAGAGTAGTCCAAGCTAAATATGGAATAATCAAACAACCAGCATATGGATTTACATTATAAAATGCCACACCCATTGCTGCAGTACTTCCCCACAATAAAACAATTTCATACAGAGCCTAAAAATATAAGAGGATTAGAAATGTAATTAAAAAAAAAAGATATACTTATTTATATCAAAATACCCATTTTATCTTGTGTAACCCAAAAAATAATGGTGACCAAGACCAGTTTAATATTAAATTAGTTCCATAAATAGAAAGAGGTAATATTGCTTTTCTAAAACCATCACCATCTCTCCATATTAAATATGAAGAATATCCTATTGTGCAATATAGAGTTGTCCAGATTGGAGCAAATAACCAATTTGGTGGAGTCCAAGTTGGTTTTTTCAAAGACTATTAAGTATCATTCAAAAAGTTTATTATTTTATTAAATCTAATTATATTTAAAAACAATTTTAATATAATCAATTAATGGTTAAAAAGTATTTATTATAACATATCATAAATAATACAACACAAATAATTTATTTTATTATAAAAACAATAGTAATATTAATTTAATTTTTTTAATAATGATATTATTGTTATCTTATATTATTATTAAGTTTTATAAATACATAAGATTTTTTTTTAAACTTGATAAAATAAAACTCAGGAATTAAATTTATTTAAATTTAATATTTATTAAAATTTTTATAATAGATAATTAAGACAAATATAATAAAATTTAATCAATATGATCAATAAAATCAAATTATTACATATTATTTTATTACAATACAATTAACAATACAAAAATATTATTTTTTAATATAATTCAGAATTTTTATGCTTTCTGTATCGAAATAATTCTTTTGTTAAATTTATTATTTATAATTTTTAAACTATTTATAATTTTTAAATTATATTATGATTAATCGATTTAATTACCTCATACCAAGGTTTGATATTTTTTCTAGAAAAGTAGCTTCCAGCCCATCCTCCAATATTCGGATGAATAATAGCTATTGCGACTGGCCACGATACTTTTACAGGCATTTTAAAAAAAAAAAAATATTATTTAACTATTTTTAACGATAACTTAATATCGATAGCATAGAGTATATATGAATAGACATATTACGACTAACGGTTTTCCAGTGTTGTGACTGCTTATCTACTTTAAAGTATTATATATTTGGATATCAGCACTTATATATTTTTATTTATATAATGCAATGACTAAGAAAAATTGCAATATCATGTCTATAAAATGCAAATTTTAATGATAATAATAAGTATACTACGATTTTATATATATATATATATACATGTATTTTCTTTGAATGTATAATAAAAACATATTATAAATTTATAACAATCGCAATAAATGTTAAAAAAATAACTTCATAATAGATTGTATATATAACTTCATAATATTTTTTTACAATAAATTATTTTTTTTATAGATAAGTTTAATATTTTCGTACTTAATAAACAATAAAAAAATATTAATAAATTCATTTAAAAATATAATTCTGCTATATATTGTAAAAACTTGTAATGTAATAAATGTTTATTCTATTTTTTACATTTTTAGTAGCACCAATAGAAAAAAAAACAAACACAAAATGCATGCACTCAAGCACATATGCCCCTTTATAATGTTAATAATTTATTATTTTATTTAATATTAAGTAATATTTATTTACATATATAATTTAATAAATATTAAGAAGATATAATATATATTAAGAAGAAATAAGAGTTATATTACATAAATTTATAAATCGCCATGCATAAAAATTATAAGTTTTAATAGTGTGAGTAAAAAAATACGAGTGTGCGTGAATTATATTAATTTAATTTAATTTAATTTAATTATCTATTATTATATATTGTAATATATAATAATAAGCATATATATGTACGAATATACATATACTCTTATGTAAATGCAATTTTACATATGAAATTATTAAATTTCGTTTTCTTTTTCTTAATATATATATAAAATATATTTTATGATGACCAAAATTTATTTATTATTATTTTTTAAATATAAGTTTAAATTTCAATTCAATAGATTTATGTATCAGTAACTGTGAGATATAACATTTTAAACAATCAGTTAATTAAGAATTATATATGGAGAAAATTTTTAATTTATTTCTACATGAGTACTCTAAATAATATCTAAATTTTAGTTTTATTTTAAAAAACTTAACAATAAACACGCACAATTTTGATATATTATGTTAGTACTTACAAAAATAAATATTGGGTAATATAGGTAAAGTGAAAAATTTTTATCAAGATATGAAAAGGAATACAAAAAGAATATTTCCAAAGAATTCATTTTCATATTGCAACAAGCTAGTACACATTAAATGGATCTTGTGCTTGATAAAAATAATATTTATATATGTAATATGTAATGAGAGAAATATGTCAACCTATGGAAGAAAGAATTTTAAGATATTTTATTTACTTTTAGTCTATATTCTTTGAATTAATTTATTATCTGTGTTATTTGTATTTTTTATAATTTTTTCCCCTCTTTTTAACATTTGTATTTTTTTTCTCACTTTTAAATTATTTTTTATTCATGAAACATTTATTTTGTATTTTATTAAATTGTTTATCATACTCGCCTCACAACAAATTTCTCATTAATTTTGTTTTTTCATATTTTTTTCTCCATTTGAATCTTTCTTACGTTCAAATTTAGAAGCAAATACTCCAGGAAAATGATATTTTACACGTTCTCTTAATTTTTGACGAATTACCATAATTGTTGTTATTGTATTACCTAGAAATAATACCAAAAACATTCCACTGAGGACTGAAACATGCCATGTAGCTTCTGAATGGGATATTAATGTATACAAGATATATGCGTTGTACAACTGAAACATATATCCAACAAAAAGGAACGGTAATAAAAACGATAATCCACGCCACATCCATGAATGAAAACCTTCAATGGTAATATCCATATTATGTCTTTCACCTAATGCTTTCAAGCGATATAAAACACCTCGTTGATAGCAGAATTGTAGAGACTGTACTACACCTATAAATGAATGTACTTAAAATTGTTGTTAAAAAAAAATTTTTAACATAAGCTTGAATAAATAACATACTGATATAAGCATTGAACCATAGAAATTGTTGTCTAAATGCATACCATGGCCCTGTGTTAGGCCATACTAATAAAACACCAGATACTACAGTTGAAAGGAAATGATGAAATCTCCACCAACCTTTTATTCTTGAACCATTTACTTTTAATATACTTTCCCTTATTGTCAACGTACAATAATACCAAACTAAAAGGAACATGAAACTAAGTTCCAAAGTTCTGTAATATATATTATCAATTATTATAAATATATTTTTTTATATTCTACAAAAATAAATAATATATTACCTGATATTAGTTACTAGATTTAATACAGATAAAATAAAACCAATTACTGAAAGAACTAATTTAAATTTTTCATATTCATCTTTATATTTGAATCTAAAATATAAATGAATTATTAAAAAATATATTTTATAATATATTACCTTTTAGATAAATTATTTCTACAATGATATTATTCTTACTTATCACTTTTATTTAATATGGAAACATTAACATTGCCTAAAATAATTTGAAGATATGTGCCATTTGGTTTCGGTAAAGTTTGTTCTATTTCATGTAATTGTTGCTCTCGTTTTGTCATTTCTTTGTTTAATCCTTTTTGTGTTTCGCACGCATGTAATCTGAAATTAAATATATAAACATAATACATTTATTTATGTATTGAAAATAAAATATATATGCTTTTAAATTAATTACTTACTGTTTGAGTGACTTTGATATTACACTCATTCGGTATGTTTGGTGAGAAATTCCTTTCAAACATTTTGTTTGAAGTTCAACTACTTCTTCTAATTTTGCAAGATATTCTTTGTTTAATGTCTGTTAAAAAATTAAATATTGCTATTGTTTAAGTATTATGTTGTTTAAATAGTACTGTTATTCAAATAATTTTTAAAATAATTTGTATAATATGGAAAAATTTGTTCAGAATATATTGATTGAAGAATGAAAAATAACAAAAAATAACGAAAAAAAACAAATGTTTTATATAAGATAATATTTTAAACTCATACGGAAAGATATATAAAAAAAAAAACATTTAAGTTTTATAATATATTAAAAATAATTAAACTTTTCATATACCAATTACGAGTATGGATAAATAAAAAATACACTTAACCTCACAGAAAATGGTCCAACGTGTTAATCATCGACAACATCAGTACCCAGGATTAACAAAAAATTATCTTACTTCTAATTCCTTGTAATCTTGTGCTAGGTCGTTCCAATCTTTCAAACAGGATTCAACATCGGTATCCATCGTAGTAAAAAAAAAGGGATGATAGCCAACAACTCACTAAAGATTCAGGTACGCAAAGATTTGTCGTAGTTGTATTACTACACTACTATCAAGTAAGTAAGTTGTACTTCCTCAGGCATTTGACGGCAGAGTGCTCTAAAGTAAAAAGTCATCTCTGACTATTCTGCTTTTTAAATTCGACATATGATAAGAAAATATTTTGAATATTTGTGAAAAGAAATTATATTTTATAATATTATTTAATTTGAATTTATTTTCAATATTAAAATTTATATAATAAAATATTTGTAATTTAACATATTTTATGTGTATGTATGTACGTATGTATGAACGTATGTACGTATGTATGTATGCATGTATTGATATATTTTTTAAAATGTTAAAAATTTTTTTTTTTTAAATTTAATTAAATAGCAATTTTAATAATACTCATTGGTTTTTAAAATAATAATTTTTTAATAGAAGATGATAATAATTTTAATGTTCCATAAAAATTTTCAATTATATTTTAATTATTTTTGAATAATCAAAAAATTGATTATTTTATTTTTATAAAATTACAAAATAACTATGATTATATTTGTTTGATAAAATATATTTATATTTAAATTATTTTTCAATAAAATTGGATTATTTTTTAATAAAACAGGATATTCATTTTATATAATTCAAGTGATTTGAAGATAATTTTTAATATATATGTATATATATATATATATATTTCCTAATATTTACTTTTCATTTTAATTAAAATAAAGCTATATTTTATTAATTAATACTATTGTTAAGTACTATGTTGTTTAAATATTGCTGTTGTTCAAATAATTTTTAATTATTAATTAAAAATATTAAAATTTAATACTAAAATATTTTTTGAATTCTTTAATTTCATAATGTTTACTTACATATATTGTTATGTATACTTTCAATATTATAATTTTTAATTAAATAAATGTTTCACGTTCGTCGATAATGGCATGTTTATCGGTCGGGCTATTATGTAAATTATTGATCGGAAATCTTCAAACATATAATCGTTTTCGATTAAATTTACTCGTATCCTGTTGTATCGTTGAATACGCGAATTTTTTCACGGTCGTTGACCAGACAGCTCCACCAATCTGCAAAGAAAAAAATACTTTACATTCTCTGGTAAACACGTTTCTTTATTCGACTATCGTACTTCATTTTAGAATTTGTTGATCTTCAGATCTGATAAAAAATGTGATCTATGTACCTATTTTAGCTTCTCTTGTTGATTTTCATGTATATATAATATGTATTTTTAGAGAATCAATTTAAAAAATGAAAAATGTTTTTAAAAAATTTTTTAAAAATAAATTTTTAATAATTAATTTTTTTTTATTTACAGTAGACATTGTTAAATTATTACCAAAAAATTATTTAATAATTCTTATAATAATTGCAATATATTTTAATTATATTCATACTTCATAATAATATTCCTTAATTCCTATATTAATTTTTTTTAATTAATATTCTTTCTATAATTGCATATGATTGAAAACAATTTTTGATTTATATCTAATATATCATATGCATAAATATTATTTCTTCCCTAAAGAATATTATTGAGAAATTAATGTGTATTATATAAAATATAATATATTATGTAAAAATATTTATATAAAAATGCATTATGTAAAACATTATGATATTAAAGAATCAATGAGTTTTAGTGATCTATTTTATTAGTGAATTTAAAATATGGATATATTATTTATAAATGCTATCATTTTATTCAAAGTTTTCTGATATTATTCAACTTTGCGAATAGAAAACTTATAGAAGAAAAATTTTATTTATTATTTATTAATATTATTTATTGATGACTTAAAAATATTATAGTTTAGTGTAAAAAATTATTTTATAATTCTAAATTAAGAAAAAAAAAAATATTTTTCTGAAAAAAAATTGAAATTTCAAAACATAAAAATACAAGAAATTATTAATGTTTTATAAAACATTTAATAAAAAAAAAAAATAAAATTAATTTTAACTAATATTTCGTAAAAAATTCTTGATTTTTTGAATATTTTAGAAAAATTATAACAAAAATATAAAAGATTGTTATTTAATATTCTTATTTTAAACAATATGTTAAAAATAGATATAAAATCATAGTTATTGCTTTACAAGTAATAATAATTATAAAATAGATATATATTATTATATTAATATTAAATTTATTTCTATATTTGAATGAAATTTTATATAGCTCATAATTCTTTATTCTTAGAATCTTATACGTGATCCCCACTCTATAAGAAATTTCAGCAGGAGATTTAAATATCTTCGAAACTGTTAAACAGAGACCAGTAGTCGGACGTCATGGATACGAGATAACCACGATTAATTCGTGAATTTATTAGTGTTTATCAGTAATTAAAAAATTGAACAGTAATGAAACTCATAAAAAAGTTTTAATTTAGAGTTTTATAATTTTATTTCAAATAATGAATATGAATTTAATAAAAATCAATAAATATAAATATGATATTTGCAAAAAAGGGGTTAAAAATATCAATTATATTTTTAAAAAATTTAATGATAACAATTAAAAATAAGTTTCAGTGAATATAAAATTAATGAATTTATAAAAAGTTAAATAAATGTTATACAGAAAGAATTGCATAAATATATAAGTATATAATACAATTTCAATCTTTTTTAATTACATTTTATTATAATTCTTGTTTGATTATAAATTTATAATTGATGTATAAGAATTATATATAGATATTTCCAAAAAATACTAATACTATTACTATTCTTTATTAGTATATACATATATATATGCAAAAATTATTTCTCTAATATTAGTAGCGTCTCAATTATCTATTTAGTATACAATTTATATTATAAAATAATTGTGAATTATTATTCAAATAATAACAAATATTACGAACAATTTACATTAATCGCTCGATATTACGTTAATATTGATGTTATTATAATTAATTGAAAATAAGAATATAGTGAATCATGAAACGAAGGAATTCTCATGAAAGAAAGTGGAAACCTGCAGCGGAGGGGTAAATGGCTTCTAGATAACGGCATAGTAAACGGTATTCGATCTTCTTCTTCACGTGTATACCAGTGTTTTATAATCGGCGTGTAACTTGAACATTTTTCTATAAATTCGTCTCTTTCTAATTCAACATTTTCTATTATATTTCTGGTTATGATTAGAAATCATAATAATTAATATGTATATAAAGATATCACTGAAAAATATGACTGTATTTACTGTGAGAAAATTATAATGGTTATGTTATTACAAAAAATATATGGATTAATATTAATATTAATATAATCATAAAAAAAATTATATCATTATTTTGAACTATCACCAGTGTTATCATTGGATTGAATTTAAGTTATCAAGCATGACACCAGAAAGAGAAAACAAGAGGTATTAAACGATTTATTTTTCAATGAAGTTATGTCTGAGATTGAACAAAAAACGATTCGTTTGCAAAATAAAAGTTTCAAATTTAATATAAACTTGTAACGTGTTTTGAATGTAAACTAATATCGGTATCATTGGTGTTTCTTGTGCTTATCATTTAAATTCACATTAATGGTAGATAAGGAAGAATCATTTATGAATTAAGAAAATGAATCTTGCGCAAAATATTTTGAAAAGCGGCAAATCCGTAAGTCTTTCCAGCAATGTCATCGCGTTGAAATATAATGTACCTGGTTGCGGTTACGCAGGCGCATCGCAGACATCAAGAATCGATGATTTATCCGATATCTCGAAATCCACAGATGGCGGGAATCGATCGAAGATAGAAATCACGGAGAAATTACGTGATAGAAATTATGGTACTGTAGCAGTAGCAACTAGCGGAAGTATTTTACAGGAAATGCCAGAACCGCGAGGAATTCCTGTGTTTGGAACACTTTTTTCATTCATTTTATCTGGGGGTCCAAAAAAACAACATGAGTACGTTGATAAAAGACACAAAGAACTGGGTCCTGTTTACAAAGAACGTATAGGACCAACCACGGCAATTTTTGTAAATTCAATTCATGAATTTCGTAGAATTTTTCGACTTGAAGGATCAACACCAAAACACTTCCTACCAGAAGCTTGGACACTTTACAATGAGATACGGAAATGTCGTCGCGGTTTGCTATTCATGTATATTAACTAAATATTTTTCTATAAAATACAAAAATATATTTATAGTTTAAATGAAAAAAATTTAAACTTGTTTGATTTTTTATATATTTTCATGTTATGATAGGAATGGCGAAGAATGGATATATTTCCGTAAGATTTTAAACAAAGTAATGTTATTACCAGATCCAACAAATTTAATGATTGCACCATGTCAAGAAGTAGCCATAGAACTTAAACAAAAATGGCAAAAACAGATTAAGACCAATAACATTATATCGAATTTACAAGTTCAACTTTATCAGTGGTCTATAGAGGGTATAATATAATATATACATAATAATTTATTTCAATACCAAAAAATGTAATAATAAATAGTCCATAGAAACACATTTTTATTTTACAGCTATGATGGCCACGTTAATGGGATCGTATTGGTATTCTTACAAACATCAATTGTCCCGAGATTTCGAAATATTGGCAGAAACATTGCACGAAATATTTGAATATTCAGCTAAATTATCTATAATACCAGTTAAATTAGCTATGAATTTACATTTACCTGTTTGGAAAAAATTTGTTGCATCTGCTGATACAGCTTTCGAAATTGTTCGAATGTTGGTACCAGAAATGGCTAAATTAGGTGGTAACGGTTTATTAAAGAAAATGATGGATGAAGGTATTCGAGCCGAAGACGCAATCTGCATTGTTACCGATTTTATTTTAGCAGCTGGTGATACGGTTAGAGTGTAACTATTTTATGAAACAAGAATTTATATTTGAAATTTATAAAAATAATTATTTGAATTTGAAACAAATTCAAATTATAATATATATATAATATTCAATTATAATTCAAATTATATATATTATATATATATTATAAATATATTATAAATTTTATTTAAATTTAAAATAAATAAAATAGAAAACTTAATAAAATTAAATTAAATGTCAAAAATTAAATACTTATATATTTATTTATATTATTTATTTGTAAATAATTAAAAAAATTAATTTTGTATTTTATATTTAGACGGCGACAACTTTGCAGTGGGTATTATTGTTGTTATGTAATCATCCTGAAAAACAAGAAGAATTATTTAAACACTTAAAAGATCTTCCTCAAAAAGATATATTAAGATTACCATTATTAAAAGGTATAATCAAAGAATCTCTTCGATTATATCCTATAGCTCCATTTATATCTAGGTATTTACCGGTAGATAGTGTGATTGGTAATTACTTTGTGCCAAAAGGGGTAAATGAATTTATATTATATTTTATTTGTTATAAACATATTAATAAACAATGAAAAAGAAATTAAAAGTCATTATATATTATAAAGATTGTATTATAAATTATATTATAAAGTCATATTATATTTTATTATAGGAATTGCTTGTTTTATCACTTTATTCGAGCGGTCGCGATGCTGCGAATTTTCCACAACCAAATGAATTCCGTCCAGAAAGATGGATTAGAACGCAAAAAGGTATTTATCAAGGCGTAGTACATCCACATGCAAGTTTACCATTCGCTTTAGGCGCTAGAAGTTGTATTGGTCGAAAACTGGCAGAAATACAAATATCGCTTGCATTAGCAGAGGTGCGTAAATAATTATATATTAATAAATTATATATTATATATTAAGAATTGATAAACATATTTGATGATATGATTTTATTTTAAAAATTGCAGTTAATTAAATCATTTAAAATAGAATGTATAAATAAGAATCAAGTAAAATTAATTTTACATTTAATTTCTGTACCATCGCAATCAATAAAATTGAAATTGATGGAGAGAAATTAGCTAATATAACAAAAAGAAATATCATTTAATTGTAAAAATAGTAAATTATTTTTTTGTTGTTTATTTTTTTATTTCCTTCTATGCAATATTTTATCCATATACATTTATATTGAATAAAATACAAATATTTTCACCATTGTACATATATATGTGTAAATTAATTATGTTATAATTATTAACATTTAAATATATATTTTTAATTAAATGACATTTATAAATTGTATACTTATTAATATTCATCAATTCTAAATCTTACAATAAATTCATAAAGCATGATCGAAGTAGAGAATGAGTAAAATATTTTGTTATATAAAAGTTTCATTAAGCGTTTCAAATTTAGAAAATATAGATTAAATAATTAAAATAATGTTATTAAATATTACAATTATATACAATTAATTTATTATTAACGTTGGCACAAAACGTTGTTTATAATTTTTTTTATTTCGTCTAAAAATTCATGAAAATTGTCGGTAGTAGAAAAATCTTGAAATGCTTGAACTCTTTCAGATTTTGTCATTGAAGCTGTCAGAAATCTCTTTACGCAACAAGATTTTAGTTCGTGACATGAGTTTATTCTCGCCCAATTCCACGCTTTACTCAAATTTTTATGATTCAATTTAGATATAGAACTTTCTGTAAGAATATCTGATATATCAGCCATAAGGAACCTGTCCGCCAATAGTACAGCATCTAATATAGATTCAATAGTTCTATTTTCGAAAGCCGAACCATTTGCAGCTAGAAGTAATGTATTAAGACCTTCTTTTGATGTGTTTCGTAATTTGACACGTTTTTTACCCGATTCTGAAAAGTTTCCTTCAAGCATTGCTGAAAAGGCATCCGATTTTTGACATAGTGTTTGCCTACAAGCATCAATAGTCGTACCATCATCTAGTTCGAATGTAACTGTTGCAGGTTTCGGATGATTGTCGTATACTCTTGGAAAATCTGCTGAAATGGTTTCTATGATTTGATACTTTTCTACAATCTCAGGTTGAATTTCCAATGTGTTTGCTAATCGACAAATTGACCAAATAGCATTTTCATAAAGATTGTGTTGTTGATTAGATAGAATCTGAAATATTAATCGAAGACCACCATGATTATTCAGAAGTGATTTTAGAATATATCGTGACTTGATTAGGAATGGTATCGAAACTGCGATAACTAATTTATGAGCTTCCTCTCCACGAAGCAATATAGATGTAAGTTCACCTATCGCTCCGCCAGTTTCTGCTAGGGCGCATAGTTGTCTTGTATACTGTTCAGAACCATATAATGTTTGAGCTTCAAAAACGAAGCCTTGTTTTAATAATGGTATTAAATATACTCCATTTCTATATAAAAAATTATTTATTAAATATTATAAATCTTATTTAAAATCTTATTTTTTTTAATTAAAAAAAATTTTATCTATTTACCTTATAATTCTAGTTAAAATTCTAGACGCTTTTGGATTTTTAGCGTGTTTGATATAGGCTGATAATGCTTCAATAGTTGCGGGATCAGCCAATCGATCAACTGGATCATTTGAATGACTTAATCGACTTAATAATACTAATGTCCATACATTTGCATATTCCCAAACATTTGATTTATTTCCTTCTTCTGAATTTTGAGATTTTTCCACATTTACAGTTATTGATTTACAACTTTTTAATGATTCTACTTCTTCTTGAGGTTCTGAAAAAAATTATTGAAATTTGCTATTTTTCAAGTTTTTTAAATTTAATATATTATTTTAAAATATAAAAATTAATTTACCGTCTTCGTTGTCCATTATTTCTGTATCACTACAAACTGGACTATAATTGTCTTCAGTATTTTCATCATTTTCAATAGAATCATAAAAAGGTAATGGTGGTGTACTAGGAGGTGAAGAAGAAACACTAACAGCACTACCTGGACTCCAATCATCTCGATAATAATCTGAACTAAATCTATAGATAAAAAAATCATGATTTTATATTTTCTATAATAATAAATTAAAAACAATCTTACAAGCATACCTTCCTAAATTTGTCTTATTATATTTTAATTCTAGTTGTTTATTAGGAGGAGAATCATTCTCTCTTTTTCTTGAAACGTTCGTCTCCTCATAAGATACTGTTTCAGTTACCATTTTTTTCAATCTAATAACTAAAACATCAAGCAAACCATTTTTTATCATTATTGTAATACTTGGATCATCATAAATGAATTGTGCTAAAGCATGCAATAATATAGGATGATATTTTTCATTTTTAATATCTTTTAATAATGATAACATTAATTCTAAGCCAAATCCCATTCTAATTCTTGCACGATTTACAGCTTCTCTACAAAACAAACATAAACTGACTAATGTTTCTTTAGATAGTTCCAAGTGATCTTTGATGAGAATAATCAAACTTTCAATAGCACCAAAATTTCCCAGAATAGGTCGACATTCTGCAATTTGGCAAAGATTGTACAAACATCTGATTGCTATTTTATTATTCATATCACAACATTGTATAATACACTTATAACCCTGCATATCATTTTCCCCTCGTAATTGTTCCCCAACTCGAGGATCAAGCGTAGCCAAAAATACACACATGGCTTTTAAACAAGTTTCTATTAAATCTATATATTTTGTATCTGTTTTTAATTGTTCCTTTGCCATTACTAATAAATTTGTAATTCGAATTATTACTCCAGATTCTAAGATTTCTTCTCTACTACCTTCGTACATAGTCCAAATATTTCTTCAAAAAAAATATATAGTTAAATATTGACTAGGAAAAGAATATTATTAATGTATAAATTATTTTTTTAATACCTTATAGCTCTAATACCCATTAAATAAGTTTGCATATATATGTCTAATTGTAAAAGATCAACTAAAGCTTGTATTGCTCCAGCTTTACATAATGATTTTGCATGCCAATCACATTCAGATAAATTACCAATTAATCTACAAGCACGACAATGCAAAGAATTTCCTAGTTTTATATGTTTTATTATAGAAATTACATGAGTTGCTATTTTAGATCCTTTGACCTAAAATGTAACAATATATTTAAAATACATTATTGTAAAATTCTATAAGAAGATATCAAATTAAATATTAAATTTTATAAGAAAAATACTTTGTTTAATAAATATATCTATTAATTGATATAAAAGTATAAAAATAAATATACATATACCTTTTCTCTTGCATCGGAATTCATGCAAGCATTTGCTAAAATACTTAAAGTCATATTCAATATTTTTATATTGTGACAATGAAGTAAATTTACTAAAATGCCTAATCCTCCATCTTTGGCAAATTGCTTGTAACACTTTGAATCATTTTTAAGTTGTGTCAAACATGACCAAATTCCGCTTTTCGAGTCCAATTTTATATGTTTAAATAATTCTTGTAATATCGGGCCTTCTTGCCTCTCACCCATGTTCAATATTTTTATAAACGAATAAAAAAATTAATGAAAATTTGTTAGTTTTTTAAAAGAAACATAACCTCTAAATTATACTGCCAACTAGTTTGACAGTTTCACCCATATAGTAGCTTATAAAAATAAGACAAAAAAGATCGTAGTTTAATTAATAAATTTCACTGTCAAAATGTATTTAAACTATGGTTATCAATTTTATAACTCATATTATAAATTTATAGTTTTATAAATATAAATAATAAATTATTTTGTAAAATTATTTTTTTAAATTTCCCGCTATTTGATTTTAGTATATATTATATATTGTATATTGTATTATAATTTTAATAAAGTCAATAGATACATATATATAGATATATAAAAAAACAAAAGAATATTATTAAAATAATTTTGAAATATATTAATAATTATATTCAAATGAAATATTTAATAAGCATAATAAGTAATAACTATTTATAATCATTATAATCATTATTAATATGTTTAAATATTTATTTTAAAATCTATTTATTTTCCTTCTCTTTATTTCATATATATATCTTTTAATTTTATATTAAATATAGAATTTAAATATATTTTATTGTATTAAACTTTATTATTTCATTAAATAATAAAAATATATTTCAAAATAAACTAAAATCAATTTTTTAAAGAATTATTTTTATTATTCCTAAATTTGAATGAAGTGTAATGAAATTGTTTGTATTGATAATTTTAATAAAATAAACTAAATTTTTAATTTAACTTGTTCCTAAAAATAGAATTATTTTCATGTCAAAATCTGCATAACAATAGTTATATAAAATTCTATATGTATATAATTTCATTAATTATGCATAATTTTTCAAATTATTATTTAAACAATATTTAAATTTATTGCTAATCTGATATTGAAATTATTTACAATTGATTTATATCATCAAAATAAATGTAATTTTAAGTTATCATAGAAAAAAGAACATAAAATTTAAATTGCGTTTCGTAAGAAAGACAAATTTCTATTTTGCGTAAGCGCATCGTGAAAAGTATCATTACCGTAATGCGCACCTGCTGAGTATAAGGGCAGTGTCCGTGAACTGAGTATAGCAGAGGCGTCAAAATGATAGGAGAGGGCATGGAGATCGGATCGTGAGCTACGCAGGAGATGTCGACAAGATGACAGCAGTTGTATGACGCTTGCTAATTTTTGGATACAGGTTCAGCATATATCAATAGTAGGAGGAAAATCGTTCGCGAACGAAACGAACGATTTATGCCTCGTTACGGTGATACGTTGATCTCAATAGATTCTTTGCGTCGAAACGAAATTATAATCAGATAAATTCGGGTGAGAGCTGTGATCGCCGCGCCCGTGCAATGTACACAGCGGCCTGAATTGTGTTCAAGATCATTATCGTCCCCGAGGAGTACTCTCTTTAAACAATCTGGAGTGGAGTAATGAGTGTTTTTGGAGATTTTCAGCGTGTCTGGGTACAAAGATTCCCGGACAGCGCCTTACCGGCGGCCTGGGAAGAGGATGTCAGGGCCAATCTAGTCAAGCATAAACAGAAGGTAAAACTTTTAATAAAAAATATATTTATATTTGCTATATAAAAAAAAATAAATTTGTTTAAATAAAGTTTTTTAGAATTTATATTATTATATTGAAAAAAATATCTACTTAGACAAATTAGAAATATTAAATACATATATGACAATAATAATATATACTTTCCTATATGTTTTGATTTAAATAATTTTTTATAGAAAATTTTATTTTATAAATTGTAATTTATAATTAATATATATGATTTTAATCCTATAATAATAATAAATATATATTGATAAAAGAATATTGTATGTTGAAAATATTTTTATTTTAATATTTGTTTTTTTTATAATTAAATTATGTTAAAAACTAAAAACTTAATTAAAAATTCTTTTTCTAAAAAGTTTGTTCAATAAATTTTTATTACATAAACTTTCTTCATTGTTGAAGCATTGAGAACTTCATTCTATGAGTCATCATATTAATTTCTTACTTAACTAGGAAATTAACTTATATTTAACTGTAATTATATCTAATATATTATTTATATTTGTTACATAAATTTCAAATTGATTTAAAATTTGTTTATTTTGATATTAAATAATTTTTGCATATTTCATATCTATAAAGGAAATTTACAATCAATAAATATGAAAAATATAAAATTAATTATTATATTAAGAATATCAATTCTTGTTATTACTTCCTCATTTGGTATACTATCATTGATTCATCATTTGCTGCTTATCTTAGTTTTGTTATCATTTTAGAAAAATCAATTTATATTATTTATTAAGGTAACTATGTCAAAAATAAATAAAAAATAAATAAAATAAATAAAAAGAATTATTATTCTTTCCAGGTAACTGCTTTAAGAGAAGAACTTGAAAAAGAAGAATTTTATGTAGAATATTTAGAAAGATTATTGGCAGATGTTGAGCGTCATAAGCAATTGGCAAATAGTAATATTATAACATCTCCTGATAAACAGCAGCCTATAGAATCTCAAAATCAGCATAGTTGTCAAGCAGCAGAGAATAATTTAACTAATTCTACAAGCACATCTCGTATTCAACATGTGGAATCATCAATTTCTTCTCTTCCTGCATCTGAAGATATAAGTAAATTTCAGGACAAGTGTGTAACTGAATTAAGTTCTACTCTTAATACATGCAAAAGACCCAAAAGTGAAATACCTAAGTGTCCTGATAAAGTGCCTGAACTTAGAAGAAACAGTGACTCAGATGTGCCAAGTAATTATGTCACTGTAATTGAAGTGACAGGAAGCTCAAAAAAAGATAAAAATGAAGAATCTCTCAAAGAGGAAGATGAAAAAGGTGATATATTATATTTATATTATATAATTATATAATTTATATATTTATATTTATATAATTATATATTTATATATATAATTATATATTTATTTTATATAATTATATTTATATTATATATTATATAATTTAATTGTTTTAATTATATAAATTATTTATTAATAAATATTTAATAAATAGATTTAGAAAATGTAATTAATGAAGATGGAGAAGATGGTGATGCAGAAGTATCAGAGGAAGAACCTTACTATGATTCTGTTGCTTTAGATCAAACAGGAGAATATGTATATATTGATGCACGTGTTCCACCTGTTGGAAATAATAATAGTAGTAGAGTACCACCAAGAAGACCACCTTCTTTGCCAGATTCACCAGGGAATCAAAGCAATTATGTCAACATTGATTATTTTATACAGTAAATTATCTGTATTTAAATATTGGTTTTAAAATTATTTTATGAAAATTTCATTTTATTAATATTAATTAATATTGATTAATATTTATGTTTTTATTTATAGACACAGAGTTGCAGATAGTGAAGATGAAGAGGGTGCAAGTCCTGCACCAATTTTATTACGTGCTCTTAGCACTGATAATGAAACTGGTAGTAGTGATGCAGAACCTTTAAGTCTAAGCGAGGGTAGTTTAGAATCACCAACACCAACTACACCTCGCCGACAGGAGAAAAGCAAAGAGCGTGAAGATGATAGAACATCTATGATTAAATGTATTGTAAATTCAGTAGTGGAAAGTGAAACTATTTATGTTGAATGTTTAAACGTTATGTTACAAGTATATAATCTATTTATTATTTTTAATAATATTTATAGATAATATTAAATTGATTAAAAAGATATAATATTTTTTTTTAGTATATGAAAGCTATCAGAGCGACGTTAACAACATCTCAACCTGTTATTTCTGAAGATGAATTTGGTACAATGTTTTATAAAATTCCTGAATTACATGCATTGCATCAAACATTTTTGGATGGTCTTAGAAAAAAATTAGAAAAGTGGGATATTAAAACTACTATAGGTGAACAATTTAAAGTAAGAACTAAATATATTGATATATTGATATATTAATTTATTCTGTTCTTTTATTAATGTTATAATTTTATAATTATAAATTAAGATAATGGCCAGCAATATAGGATTATATGGAGCTTTTTTACATAATTATGCTCGTGCTACTGATACTGTACGAAGATGTTCTGCACATTCCACTCAATTCGGTGAAATTACAAGAGACATAAGACTCAGAGGATTTCCAAAAGGACCGGGTTTATCTCTTGAAGATCTCTTGCATAAACCAGTAGCTCGTGTACAAAAAAATGCATTAGTATTGCATGTAAGTACTGTATTGTTTATAATTTTATTATATATATATATATACACATCTATATAGATATAAACATGCATCATTGATAAAACATTGATTAAGTTGATAAAATGATGTGGAAATATACTTTGTAAATTTTATCTTATCATAGTTTGTATTGATAATTTTATCTCAATTGATTGTAGGATCTTCTTAAGCACACATCAGTGAATCATGCAGATCATGCACCACTTTCAGAAGCTCTTGCTATGACTAGAAATTTTCTAGACGAATTTAATATAATTCAGACAAAATCAATGTTTCCGGTAAATAAATTATAATGATAGTTAAGATTATTATCAATTTATTACATTAATTTTATATTAAAATATATTACTTTTAGAGTCATGATAGAGCACAAAGAAGATTGGTAAAAAATTCGTTTGTGGTAGAACTTTCTGATGGTCATAGAAAATTGAGACATCTTTTCCTTTTCAATGATGTAATTGCTTGTGCAAAGTATAAAGCTTCTGGTAGAGATAAATTTACATTTGAATTGAAGTGGTATGTACCAGTGGCAGAAGCGGCAGTGACAGAAGATGGTGTAGAACCACGTGAAACTAGTCCAGCTAATGTTGTAGCTTTGAGGTATATAAATCTATTTTCATGAATAATAATTTATATAATATAAAAATTATATTTTTATTTTTAATATTTATATATATAGATCACAAGCATGTACAGTACGTGATCAGATTCTATGGGAAGAACGAAATGATGAGAAACGAATTAGACTTGGTGGTAGAGGTTCAGAAAAAAATAGAAAGAAACTTGCTGAGCTTGAGGCTCAATTAGTATTAGCATCTCCAAATTTAGTATTACGCGTTGCACATAAAAGTCAGCATCGAGTACAAAATTCATATACATTCTTTCTATCCAGTGAATTTGAACGTTCTCAATGGGTTGAAGCAGTGGAGGCATTGCAACAGGTAATGCGTTCCCATATGTACCTAGATAAGTCAAAGGTGCGTAATTTACAGATTTCAAGTAAATAAATAATATAAAAATAATTAATTTACATTTTATTTAAATCCAAAACGAGGATGCAAGTAACAATATCTTAGTAAAACATTATTAAAAAATTTAATGAAAAAAAAAAAATATTAAACAATAATTTTTTAGGGTGGACAACCACCAGGACCGCTCCCTTTATCAATGTATGAATTACAAGCATGGGTTACAGCCTGTCGTACTTACCTTCAAACAGATATGGGAAGTTATTTATTAAGATCAGGACGTGATGAAAGTTTATTATTAGGCGATCTTCATTTAACTTTACTTGGCTTGACACCACCAGGTTTAGATAGAGTTGGAGATCTTTATATCATTGTTGAAGTTGATAGTTATGGACATTATTTTAAACGAGCAAGAAGTCGAGTTGCGAGAGGTCAAGCTCCAACGTGGGGTAAAATGTTATTTTAATGAGAAATAATCCAAATCAAACTAATTTCTTTCAATTAATTATTTTTAATTTTAATTAAAGGTGAAACATTCGTTGTGGAATTGGAAGGAAGTCAAAATGTTAGAATTCTGTTATATGAAGAATGTGGAACACGTTCTGTATTACGTGGCAAATGTATACAGAGATTGAGTAGATCTTGGCTTCAATCAGATCAAATAGAAAGATCATTAAATTTAGGTCCAGCTACATTAGATGTGGCTCTTCGTTTTGTTCCAAGTGAAGTGACATTAAGACGCGTACCATCTGCTAAACCTCAAGGTCTATTTGGAGCTAAAATTCAACAAGTGTGCAAGTATGTTTCATAATTTTTATAAAATTTTTTATTGAAAATTTTTTTTATGTATTAATCCTTATGATTATTTTTTTTATAGACGTGAAAAACGTGATGTTCCTTTTATTATAACAGCATGTGTTAGAGAAGTGGAAAGGAGAGGAGTTGGTGAAGTTGGATTGTATCGTGTTTCTGGTTCAGCTTCAGATTTAACAAAATTGCGTAAATCTTTTGAAAGTAATTCATACGAAGCAGAACAATTACTTAAAGAGGTATTTATGTTACGAAAATCTCTTCATAATGCAATATAAAATTTTTTTTTAAAGTAATTAATAAAATTGTATAAAATACGTAGCATTAATTTTATATTAATAGATTAATTATCTTTATAAGGTTGACGTTCATTCTGTAACGGGTGTATTGAAGTTATATCTTCGTGAAATGCCAGAAGCTCTCTTCACAGATGCTCTTTATCCAGCATTTTTAGAAGCGTTTCAAACTGGCGAGTTATCAAAAGGTGCTGCTCTTAGAAGAGTATACGAAAGTCTACCAGCTGTGAATAAAGCAGTCATTGACTTTCTACTTGCTCATTTGATACGAGTTAATAAACACGAGGCTCAAAATAAAATGTCCTTGCACAACTTAGCGACGGTGTTCGGGCCGACGCTTCTACGTCCTGGTACGAATTCGCGATCTGATGTAAAAAGTCGGGATCCTTTAGCTGCAGGGACTGTAGACGTAATGGCACAGGCCGGTATACTTTATTGTTTTTTGCAGATGCATATGCAACAGAACAATCAGTCACTCTAGTCGAGAGGTTCTTGTTGATACATCGTAGCGTCAGCTGCTTTTCGCGAGTCTCATTGGAAATTGAACTCGCAGCAACTTACGCTGTAATGTAAAATGAACGATTTTTTATAATATATATTTTATTAGTTTTGTGATGTATCGTTCATACAATGCTGAATTAGATGTATAAGTAGACAGACTTTGACAAAATCTTGATTGAAATTTTTTTTGTATTGATATATATATACAAATAATATAGCAAAATGATCTTACAGAACATGTACTTTAAACTCCTCAATATATATTTTATACTTATATACTCGTGGAGTCTTAGCCACGATTTTATTATACGTGATGATTATACGTAAAACATTTCTAAAAAAAAAATTTGTGTAAGAAAAAATTTTTTCCCATAAAAACAACATCAAAAAAGAATGAAGTGAAATATGGAAATCCGATTATTAATGCATCCCCGCTTTAGAAAATAAGTACTTTTTTCAATGGAGCGTGTTCCTAGCAGAGAATCTAAATTTTTTTACGTATATGTCCACAAAAATTTTCACGTATTCAAAATAATCACGTTCCTAAATATTTCAGGAAGCACATTTTTTGAGATGTGCAAAATAAAGCTTTTAATAGTATATACAAAATATACTAACTATATTCTGTTTTGACTTGATATTTATGTTTTCCAAGGAAACTGTTTTTTCATTAATACTATTTCTTATAAAAATATTTTGAAAAACATCAACGTTCTTAAAGGGAATGCTGTGAAATAATTTTAAATCAAGTTTCTAATGTTTAAGCTGTGGTTAGACTCGAATTTGTTTTTTATTAATTGTTTAATTGATTTTTGAAGTTTAATATTTTTGATATTTTAAAAATTTATTTGAAATATTTAAAATTTAAAAAATATTTAAAAAGAAATGCTTTTTAAAATTTTCAAATTTTTGATAAATTAAATATAAATATTTTATATATGCAATTTTAAAAAATAATTTAAAGAGTATTTTATTATTATATCTATATATTAATCTGCTGTATTGATTGTTAAATGCAAAGATTATTTCAATCTTTTTCAACAACTACTTTTTCAAGTTTTTTTTTTTTTAGATTAATATCTCGGAAGTCTAAGTGCAGCTTAATTTAGCACCAAAGAGAAAAATTCTCTCTTATATATTCAATAAAAACTGATTGAACCTTTGAAGTATTAAAATCATTTTGCATATTAATTATTTTGAAATTTCTATATCATTAATAGTACTCTTTAATGATATTTTTTTATTATTACTATTTTTATAAATAATAACTAATAACTCTCCATTATCATCAGATTTTTAGAATTGCTTTTTATTTAAAAAAGAGGAAAAGAAACCAATTGATATCTTTTATTCCAAAAATATACTTCAAAGAGTTATAATAAAAAAAAATTTGGCAGTACAAATTCAATACTCGCTAAAATTTTGTATTATGCGCTAGAATATTTTGATTTTGATTGATAAGATCAAAAAATATATTTAATGAGTACTCGATAAAAAATATAACATTGTACGTATACATTAAATGAAACAATAATAAATTACAAAAAAAAAAGGAAACAAAATCAAATTACCAGAGAAGAAGAAAAGATCGCGTTATATTAATTTCCGAAAGATATTTTTGAGCTTGAAAAACAAACAAGGCAACTATCGTGTGCGTGATTTTAGCGTATGCGTGTATATGTATGTATGTATGTATGTATAACCTGCTCATGTGTATTATATCGTAAATAATTCAATATTTTTAATTTTTATATATAATTTTATATTTAATATTAAGACGCGATCCTCTTTTGTACATTCATAAAACTTGTAAAGACAAAATTTCAGCTATTATTATTATTACTATGCTTATTATTACTATTACTATTACTACTATTACTACTATTACCACTACTATTACTACTACTACTACTACTACCACTACTATTACTACTACTACTACTACTATTACTACTACTACTACTACTACTACTACTACTATTACTACTACTACTACTACTACTACTACTACTACTACTACTACTACTACTACTACTACTACTATTATTATTATTATTATTATTATTATTATTTTTATTTTTATTATTTCATATTTTATAATTACCAATTTTTTATAAAACAAATATTTGTTAATGAACATTCAATTAAGCTAGCTTATTCGCAGCAAGACAATGTACTGCCAAAAAGAACTCTTAAAATGCATAAATATACTGAAGATTTATAAACTTTTAATTGATAATATTTATCGTTACCCCAAGATACGCTTTTCAATAGTCTTTCAGTTTTTTTTTTTCATTTATCTCTTACATAAAATAGTTTAGTACAATAGTATTATATTGTAACTTGAATTGTTATTTTATTTTGTAGAATTGTATTTTTTAAGATCATGAAATTATCTTAAAAGAATTAATTAAAATGATCTTAAAAAAATATAATACAGATAAATCGGAAAATATATTAAATATTGTATGACGGAATATTTTATTTATAAGTAAGCTAATAATTTTATATATTCATGGAAATCATTGTAAATCTACGTATATGAATTATATTTTAGTACACTTTGTTTATTTTTTTAATCTTTAGATTTATGTATAATCCGTGAACATGAATTTTAATTTTATTTTCAGAAATAGATAACACTATATAATGGAAAAAAAATTTATATAGAATTTATTATCTTTTATTTTAATGATGAATCTCTGGGCAATTTCGAGCTGGTGGAGATAAAGGTAGTTTAACTGGTGTAGCTGCTATGTTATCCCATAGTCCAGGAAGTCGAGATCCATCAGATCCATTGCATTGCATTCCTAATTAAATATAATTTAAAATTATTATTTAAAATATTAAAATCAAAACTTAAGATTTTTAATATAAATATATATCACAAATAAAACCTAAAGGTGCAGCTTCATATAAATCATGTAAAGCTTGTACGCGAACTTTGGTCCACTCGATGCTTTTATAATTTGAAGAGATGCCATTATCGGTGCTAATTGGTTGATTTTCCCATTCTTTCATATATCGAAAATAAGTTCTTAGAACATCATTGCTAATAGCACTTTTACAAACCTAAAAAATATTAATTTTTTTTATTAGTTTCATCATAATATTCAGTAAAAAATGTAATTACCTCTAATCGAGTATTAGGATAATAGTGAATATAATTCACACACATTTCATCGGAAATGGCAAATCCACCAAGAGTAATATTTTCTCTATCCATTGTATTGTACGTACAAGTTGTTATTAACGAATCTCCCTAAAAAAATTTATATAAATTTGCTAAGTGTATATAAAGATATTCATATATTTCTTTAATATAAAATATATATTAGATTTTAATTCTTACTGGTAAAATAATAACAGGTTTTGGTAAAAGTCGAATTTCTTGAAAATGAGTGGAATAATGATTATCATAATTTAATAAAGGTAATTCTTCTCCGTCTCTAATATGACGAGTAATAACTTTTATGCCTGTTAAATGTGTATGAAGTTGCGATGCGAAAATATGAATACCATGTTGTGGAAGACCAATGCCTGTACATTCTTGTATGCAATGTCCAGATAAAGTAAAAGCTTCCTATAATAATTTTATTAATTTTGATTTTTTATTATAATAATATATATCTTTTCTTTAATTTGCATTAATTTATTACTTGTCGTGGAGGAATAGCCATTTTATCAGTATATTCTAAGCCTAATTCAATTACACCAGCATCGTATTTCCGAAGATTTTTAGTAAGAATGAAACGAATTCCTGAAGAATCGATATTCCCATTCTGAAATTCAGGATTATTGTAGTGAATCTCCAGCATTATATAAGGATTAAAATCTTGGCCACCAATTGAAAGACCAGCCTCTTCTGGATAGATAAAAGCATCTGCTCCCATGGCCCATGCTGCTAAAACTTTCTTACATATCTTAAAAAGATAGGAAAAGAAATGATTTTAAAATTGATGAAAAATAATTATAATAAAAAATTATAATATAAATGATAATATTTAATATAAATAATAAATAAATTAATTCGTTGATAAATAAAAAATAACAAAAGAATTAGCGCACTTGAGTTTTCTCTGGTCTATCAGTTCCATCACAAGGACCATCATACATAGGAATTTCAAAATTTATTGGTCCAGCACAATGAAAAATTTCCATATGATGAACCAAATGTTCGTTGCCTGTTTGTATAACTGGACCAAATTGTAGGATATGATGTCTAAAAACAATAATTTTGTAAAGTTATTAATTCCAAAAAATCTTATTGAAACTCACTTTTGAGACAAAATGGGAGGTAATTTTTGTACACGGCACCAATAAGTTGTTTCTTTGTTCGGTACTTTTACACGATCTGTTAATATTTCTAACTGCCAAGCATTTGAAGGAAATATTGGCTTCTTATGAAGCATCCTGATTAATTCTGTTCTAGACATACCAGAAGTGTCTGCATCGGATACTTGCAAACCAGTCAAAGATGATAATGGTCCTAAACCTTTTAACCATACTAAATGTGTAGTACCTCTCTATAAGTTTTTAAATATTTCTCTTTTGTACTATAAAATAATAATTAAATGATTAATTAAAAGATTGAAATATAGACCTCCATAATATAATCATTTTCATCGCAAGTATCAAATTTCCTTGAAAAAGTGAATTTTGTTATATTTCCTCTTCTTCTCCATGCAAAATTCTCACAATCCTGTTGCAAATCTAAATTTAATTTTCCTTCTTCATCTGCCCAAGCATCCTGAAATTTTAATGTAAATATAATAAAAATTTTGTATAATATATTAAAAATATATTAAAAATAAGTATTATAAATACTTGTAATTGAATTTGACGATGCCAATCAATCCATAAAACGCAATAATCGGCAGATTTCAATTTACCGTAATCTGAAAAACCTATAGCGAACCAAGTATTGTCAATACTTGTATAATGAACTTCTGCGATTATGATCTCACTCATAAAATCAACCCTAGAAATTATTTTTGCATATATTTATTTTTCTATGTATTATTTTACTATGTACTATTTTTAAATAAATACCTCCAATAGAAAGTGATATCTGAACTAAGCGGAATTGTATGAACATCTTTTCTTTCTGAATTATCTTTTCTATTTTGATGATGATTATTCCAAAATAAACATAATCCATCTTTTAAAACTATAAATAAAAGTAGCAAATAAATTTTTGAAAACATTTTAAGTTTTCTCAATTAATTTATGTTTTTTTATGAAATATTATTATAAATATTAAATATTAAATATTAATATATATATTATAAAATTCTTTATTGACACATAATTTAAAAATTTAATTTCACAAATACGTTCATGATCCTTCGCCTTCTTATCACCAATTTCTACTAACAGCTTTTAAACGATCCGAAAGGACGAAGACTTCATATAATACTGCTTTGCCGCCGATTCTCTGCGGCGGTCATGCGCAGAAATCGTAATCACAATAATAAAATTATTTAAAAAAGACAAATAATAAATATAATTTTTTTTAAATAGTAAGAATTATAAAAAAATAAAAAATAAATATATAAAAAATTTGGTTAAATATTTCAATAAAAATTATATTTGCAAACTTTGTAATATTAGCGCATGTGCAGAATATTAGTTCGAAATATTATTCGATTGTATTAGAATTGACAAATATAAGTTATATTTAATTAATAAGATTACTTAGATTAATTAGAAGAAATATATAAATTCTTTAATATTTTAATGTTTTATATTTACATTTATATTTACATGTATCATAAGTCTAAACTAAAGCATAAATTTAATAAATATAAAAAATATATCAGTTTCTATATTAAATATATTAAATTTAGTTTAATATATTTATATAAATATAGTTAAATATATTAAATTTAATTTTAAAACAATTTTTAAATGATAATATAACATTATTCTTTTAAATTTTTCATTAATCTTTTATTAAATTCTAATATTTAATATTAAACTCTAATATCTATTCTAATTATACCTTGGTTATATTAATTATACATTTTCATTTAAATATTAGAAGTTTTTCTCCTTATTAATATTCATCTTCTTCTAATTATTTGCTTGAAAATAAGTAACTTAGGTTATCAATTTCTAATAAACGGAAAATTATATCGATTAGGGTCATAAAATCAAATTTAAGTAATGGAATCTTTTATATAATATTTCATTTTAAATTGGATATGAAATTTATTTATAACAATAATATTTGATTTAATCACATATATATTTTTGTTCAATTTTTTATATAATATTCCTTATTAAATAAGAAAATTTAGATCTGAATTGAAATGTTTGTAATTGTAAATAAAAATATTTATAGTGTTAAGTGAATTTCGTAAGGAAAAAAAAATATTGGAACGTCAAGAAAATATCTTAATAATCAAATGCCAGAGAGCGCATATTGCATTCCAGTCATAGTGCGTGCTTCTCCTTCTGATCGTAATCAAGAAATTCCGCAATTCTTATTGAGAGAACAATTCTCACGAAAAGCATTATTCGAGGCAATAAAAAATAGTATAAATAGCATCAATATCGAAATCAATTTTTTAATGATTCGTTTCTTGAAAAACATTATTATATTTTATCTTTTGTTTTTGATATTGAATTATTATAAAATTGATCAATTAAAATCTTTAGAATATAAGTAATTATAATTAAGTAGATTATAATTAAATGCATAGTTTATGAATTGTTATAAGAATTGTTATAGAATTCTTTCTCATAAAATCTTATCTTTTTCAATTATAAAATATGCATGAAATATACAGAATTAATAAATCGAATCTTTATGAATCTTTATTATATTTATCTATCATCTGTTATATTTATCTATCTGTTAAAATATTTAGAGGACTTAGAATTTATTTTAAAATGTTGCTTTAAATAATTGAAATTTTACAAATTTGATTGAATATAGAAAGTAATAGAAAAAAATATTTTTTTTGAATATATTTATTTAAAATTAATATGATTTTTATTCAGAAAATATATTATTTATGCAAATAATTTTCTATTTTCAAAAATATAATATTCAAGATTATTTTAGTTGGCAAAATATTTATTGTATAATTATGAAAGAATAATAATAAATTGTGAAATATCATTTCAAATATCATAGATAATTTATATAATATTGTTATTAAGATTCGTGAAATGATATAAAATTTGATAAAATTTGTCATATAGATTTATTAGATTTATATAGATTTATATTAAAGATATTAAAAATATTTTTTATTGTTAGATTTTAGGAAAGAGTGATTACCATCAAAAAAATATTAGTAATTTTTGAAAGCTGATGAGACTAAATTAAATATAATCGGACATTTTAATCATTTTAACTAATTAGAAAAATCTATAATCTCATATTATGTAATTGCCTTGTTAAATTAATAGTAATAATTTTCACAAGAGTTACCATATAAACAAATAAAATCTTTGATTCAATGAAAATTAAATGTTTTATTTTATTATGAAATAATATTTTATAAAATAGCATGTTTTTTTAAAAATTAATAACTAAATGCCTAAGTATAGAATTTTAATCAAAACAATTTTTATTAATTTTGATAAAAATGTAAGAAATTATTTAAATAGATATAAAAAAAATTCTACGACAAAAATAATCTGACAATTATAAATAAAATATTAATTATAAATAAAGTAATAAAAGTTCAAATATGGAAATATATATTTGCGAATATTTTTTTTTTAAATTGAAGATTAAATAATGAAAGATTGATAGTTCATGATGTATATAGTATGGATAGATTAATATGGATAGATTAATAAGAAAATATAAGGTAAGTACATATGTATTTTGAATATTTAAATGTATATGAAATCTCTAATACATGAAATCTTTACACAACAAATAATTTTATCAAAATAGTTTATTAAACTTATCATAAATAAGACTTATAAGTTGACTCAAATTAAAAGAAAAAAGAATAGCAAACTATAGCTTGAAAATAATAATTGCATTTATATATTTGTAATACTTTGAATTTTACTTCATTGGAAAAACTTGGTCTTGATACGCATTGTCATAGAATTGTGATTATTTGTTATTTGCAAATATTTCGATTTATACGATTATTAATATTTTTTATTCAACCAAATATTAAAATTGCAAACTTAAGTAACAATGTTGGAATATTATATTCTGGAGTTTACATAGGACAGCAAATAAATTCCACTGAATTAGCATCATTCCTTGCGTAATCTGATTAAATAGTGTATCTATATCTTTATTCGGTCATTCACAGTTGCTGAGCGATTAAAATTTTCAATTATATTCAATTAAAGCTCATTAAATTTCAACAGCAATAACTGTTTTGCTAAACAATTATACATTAGTTAATTGTTATGTAATAAAATAAAAAATAAAATATAAAATAAAAAAAAATTATTTTATATTTAATTATAATTATACCAATTTTTAAATATCTTATTTAAAATAATCTTATTTCTTTTTATGTGAATTATGAATTATTAGATATATATACTATCGATGATGCTTAAAAAATAAAGTATGTATCATAAATATAAAATGTTTAGCAATTGTAATAAAAAAGTGATCATTTAAATAAATTATTCTTACTAAAAAAGAATTATTTATATAAATTACTTTTGTTAAAATAAAAAACAAAATTGCTATATAAATTAAACAGTTTTTACAATTATGTTTTATTATATAAACAATTCATTTTATCATTAATACATTCTCAAAATTTTTACAATTCTATTTAGTTTTAATTGTAATATTAATATTACTACATATTATTACTACATCTTCTAAATAAAAAATATGTTAATAATTTTATGAAGTCAAAACATATTTATGTATAATTTATTTTAAATTCATACTTTATTTTATTTATTCTCTTTACTTTACTCTATTAATTAATCAATTATTAAAATAGAATAATTAATTATTCTATTTTAAATTCATTATATTAAATTGAATTAATAAAATATAATTAAAATAAATTAAATATAATAATTAAATATAATTTAATATAATTAAATATTAATATAATTATATATTAATATAATTAAATATAATTTAATAAAGAAGTTTTATTAAAATAAGACAATTTTTTTTAATAATCTTATACTTTTAAATAATAACATTATTATATAATTATTCAATACATTTATTTCGCACATAAAAACTTAAAAGAAGAAAAAACCAGAAGAAAAAAAAAGAAATTGATAAGAGTATATTAATATGGGTACAGGGTACCATGATATTATGATCCAGCAGTGGCAACGGCATAACAAAGGCGACGCCGGTTGGCTTATGCAGGGTAGAAAGGGAACATACAACTACTCGAAATTCTGGTCGACGTTACTGCGACAGTCGAGAAGCAGCGAGTGCTCGCGTTTGGACTTCAGTGTCGGAGCAACTGGTCCACGTCGTAAAGTCGCGACAAAAAAAGTATATCAAAGGAATGTAATCTCCGTACGAATGATTGATTTTTTATCCGTGTTCAACGCGCTTGAATATAAATTCTCTTGCATTACCCACGGTGAGTGATCAAATATAAAATTATACAAGAAAAAAACGAATGTATGACTCAGACGCGCACATTGCATCAAATAGAAATATGTGTTCTTTTCGAGACGACTGATCGATGAATCGTTCACGACTTATAAAAATTCGTAATTTCAACTTAATTTTTTTACGTGGAATTTTTTTATAAGGAGTTTTAGTTGCTATTCTTCTTTTATTTTGTTTAATTTTATTTTTTTTTAAGCGAAGTAGATAATACTATAAGTCTATTCACGTGGTCACAACTTGCTTGCCGCGCGCTTATATTGTGCGAAGTTAGTTAGTTTTCTAAATTGCAAATTCTTCGGAATAAAAATTAGAATTTTTTTCTAATTTAATATGAAAATATGTACATTATTTAGTTCATATATTTGGAAACTTTATTTAATGAAAATATATATGATATAGATAGAAATTGAATAGAAATGATTAAAATAATAAAATTTAAAATATTTTTTTAAAAAATGATTATGCAGTGTTTTTGACATAAAAATTCATTCAATAAATATTTATTTATAAATTGCTAAATTTATTTAATATATCAATATTTCATCAAAATAATTAATTAAATTTTATCTCAGATTTTATCATAAAATTTTTTTTACATTATATTACTTCTTGAAATTTTAAAATAAAATTTATGTTATTTTTATATGTATATATAACTTATTATCAGCAGAAAATAATTTAAATTCCTCTATTATTGAAACGCATTTGATTTATACTTTGTTTACATTATAAACAAAATTTAAAAAAATTTAAAAAGATTAAAAAATATCTAATATAATATTATAATATATACCTATTCAGGCCATTCAATAATAATTGAAAATTAGTATTTCGCATTAAAGTGTACTACAATGACTCATATCAGATTGATAATTGGTGAATGATAAGAAGATTGAAAAAATCATGACTCTAGGAATTGATTTGATTCATATGAATTGCATCCACATAATATTTTTTGGCTAATATTTTAAAAATATTATTTAATTCCGCATATTTAAAATAATATTCTACTATTTTATATTTTTTATCGCAATTAATTATTTTTATATTTTATTTTTTTGTAGTTTTACAAAAATACTAATTTTTTATTTTTATTGTATTATAATTTTATTTTTATTATAATTATTTTATTTTTAATAAAATTTAAATATTTTTTTTTAATTTTTGCATAATTTTGCAATAATTATTTCTAATTCTTACTTAATAATTTATAATTTATTTTGTATAATTATAAAAAGTGCAATTTATATGTTCTTATATATTAATTGTCAATATATCGAATATATTATAAATAATATAAATAAAATGATTAAATTTAAGTATAAATATAAAAATAATATTTCTTTTTGTTATTGATAAAAATCGCTTGATTTTATCAATATATTTATATTAAATGTTTTATATTAAATGTATATTTTCATTAGACGGAGGAAATTACATAAATATATATTATTATAAATTATATATTTATTTAAAATATTAAATTGAATTGAATTTATGTATACATATAACTTACATAGTATATAAAGCAAATAAATTTTTCCGATCGACACACCCACTTTTATAGATCTACTCGATTCCAATTTCATTATCTGCTATTCGATTACGACATAATACTTGATTGATATGATTCATACAATTTATTACTAAATAAATCTATGGAGAAAAGAAGATTATCATTTATTAATATTATTAATATTATTATTAATATTATCATATATATATTATATTAATGTATTATACTGATATATTTATATTATATTCAAAACATATTTATAACATATATATAATTTATATATAAAGTAATTAATATTATATATAAAGATTTTACTTATATATAAAGATTTTAAAGTGTTCAAATATATTTTTTATATTCACATTAAATTATATTTTAATTATAAAAACATATGAAATTATTTTTACCGCCAAATATTATATTCGATTTATATATCTTTGTTATTAAAAAAATTAATATTGTAATGAATATATTACTTAATTTTTTTATAAGTTCAAATAAGAAGTTTTCTAGAGTCAAATTTATTTTTGAAATATTTTAAATATATGCTAATGGAATTCAGTTTTTGTTTAATTCGCATTATTCGTCAATAATAAATATAATTTACTATAGGAAAAAACAAAAATATTTTCAACGTACATATAATTGATATAGATAATATGTCGAATATAAGCGAATTTTGGCGGTAATGAGAATTGACTCAGTTCTTGCGATCCGTTTTTGAACGATGAAATCATCGTCAACAAGAGAAATCAATAATCTAAACTAAAAAAAAAAAAAAAACGTATATAAGTATATAATAAAATAGAAAATAAATTGAACGATAGAAATTGGAATATTTATTGCAAAATCAATTTTTCTACAAAATATAAATATGAATATATAAAATTAATTATATATATATATTTATTATTTATAGAATTTTATAAATTTAAAGATTTTAAAATTATCATAACAATACATTTAATTTTTGAAATATATGAATATACAATAACAAAATTTGAATTTTGTATTAAAATTTATTTATTTATAATCATAATCACATTTTATTTGAACCATTTAATTTTCTTTAAAATTAGATAATATTTTTATACGCATAAACATATAATTTAATGTATATCATGTATAAAATATTTATAATCTGATACAATATTTAAAAATTTAATGCTATAGTTAGTGGTAAGTTTGTCTATGAATATTTAAAAATAAATAGTATTTTACAATTGCGCAATTTGATATTGATACTTCGTCAAATAAATGATAATTAAAGAACTAAGTGCATCTAATTGTAAATATCAACGTAAATGTCGCAAAACTTAAGCCTTAACCTTCGTTTACAATCTCTAAGATTATGTATCTAGAATCTATAGTTTCCCTTTTTTTTAGAAAAGTGTTTTTATAAAAACTAACAATGATTATAATACAAAATTATAATATAGTTTTATCATAATAATATTAGAATATTTCAATTAACAATTAAATATATTTTTTTTTATTATTTTCTAGAAAAGTATAAATTTATAAAGCTTGATATTAACAATAAAATTATATTTATTTTATATGTGAATATGTGTACGTTATATTTTATATGTTTTATATGTATATGTTTATTATCACAAATGTCAAAAAGAATTCAACCTTAACCTTGTTTCATATTAACATAAAATCAGATTAAAACCAAATAAAGAAACAAATAAATGATAGAATATAAGATAATTCATAGAAGACAAATCCTATCTGATTCTTATGTGATCAAACTTGATTTTTCATCGAAACACATATAATTAATTTTATTTTTGATTTCTTTAACAATTCTTATTTTTATGATAACATTTTATATTAAGAAAAATTTTATTATAAAAGATCTTGTAATAAATGATATTATCATAAAAATTATATATAATTTATTATGTACAAAATAATTTAATGCTCATTGAATTATCAATATTGTAACATTAATATAATAATTTTTGTTTTAATATAAAATTATTATATTATATATATTATATTATATCATGATATATATATATACAAAATGTTAATATATTCGTGAAATATCTTTAGAAAGTCGATTCTAGAGATCAAAACAAACACAAAAATTGTAAAAAGATTTATTGAAATTATGTGAAGTTAATGAAGTCAATGAAATTATAATGTTCAATTTTTATATAAAATTTTATTTTGTTTAGCATTGAGTTGAAAATTCGAAAACTAAGCGGAAGCTCGAAATGAAAGCTTAGATGTATTTTTGCATAAAATTCGAAAACGATTGATTGTTGTTTCTTGCGTCTAGGATTGGTAAGAAATTTCCTTTGGATTTGGCCGATCAGGACTGCCAAGCCTTGTGTTAAGGATTAAGGAGAAAAGAAAAACTTAGATTTATGATAGCAATTCTAGATTATGATAGCTTTCGAAATGAAAAATTTTAACGAAGCATGCGATCTATATATTGAAATTAATAGTTTTGTTAAAAATAGCTTTACTATTTCCCTGTCGTAAATCTTGTGTTTGCATGATGATAAATGCTTCTTTTATTTCGAAAGCTAGCTACTACAGTTGATATACAAAAACCGATTGAAGCTTATTTATGAAGTTATAAGCAATTAAAGTTCCCATTAAATGAAGCAAGATGCAAATAGAATAAAATCATTCTTTTTCTGTTATATCGTCATTGCACTTTATTCCCATCTCCCATCATCTTATAAGTTAATAAATAATAAATAATTCAATCAATAACTTTTTCTTATTTTTGCCTCCAAAATCAAATGGTGTCTCACAAATATATTAATAGTTATATATTTAAGTTATCATATAAAAATTAAATCAACTAATAATTATTCTAATTGGATTGAAAATTTGTTTCTAGTGATCACGGAACAAGCGCATATTGGCAGCTTAAAACGCCTGAGGAAGTCGAAGATCAAACTTCTGTAATCGATGGGTTGAGAACGCGAAATTCGTGCTTTTCAGCTTTTTCTTCTTTTAACCAAGGTGTATAACTTATCAATGAGCCATGCTGAAGGTAGTAGGAGCTTCCTGGCTGCAGACACGCATCTCTACTTATATTCTCGTCGCCGTAGCTTTGTTAGGAATTGGAGCCATAATTCTTGGTGAATTTGGACAGTAAGTTTGTTAATTTATTACAAATAATATAATAAAATATATAAATTTAATAATAATAAAATATATTAATTTTATATATTAACATATTTATAAATTTAATATAGATTATTTTATAAAATGGAAAATATAAATACAATACAAAAAAAAATATTGTATATACAAATAATTCAATATATACAAATGACAAATAAGAATATGTAATATTACTATTAAAAGTAACAATAAAAAAATAAAAATAATTATAAAAAATGAAATAAATATGAAAATTTATAAAATATAAATATAAAAATAGGAAAAATATTTTTAATAAAATTAACTTTAATTGTAAAAACTTCTTTTTATAAAAAAAAGATCCTATGATATATAGACAATCCTATGTCTATATTTCTAATGCAACATATCTCTTCAATGAAATTAAAATCCTTTCAAAAAACAAATATTCTTTTTTGCAAGATTAATATTATTAAAATTAATGTACCATAATTTTAATTCCTTTATATTTGTAAAAGTAAATATGTAAAAGTAAAAGTAAAATGCATGCAATAAGTTGCAACGTTCAAAAACATCTATTTTTCAGCAGTAATTAATTATAGACAAAATTTAATAGTTGAATTTACGAATAAAGTTATTTCAATAAGTTACTTCAATAATTTATTGTTTAAAACATAATAATAAATCGCAAAAAATTATAATCTTAAATAGCCAAGATATATAAAAAACGGATTAACTATAATAGTTAAACGAATAAATATTATTCAAGCATTTTAATAAATAATTACTTAAATTACTTTATTCGAAAACTTTAACTAATTATTTTTTCAACTCTGATAGTAACGAATTGGATGAGACCGATCACGATATGGATCGAGTAACGCGACATGTGGCTTCTCGAATTCGTTCTTGCTGCTATCGTAGTACTACTGGTGCGTGCACATGCTCTGTTTCCGAAGTTCAAATACTTTTGCGTACTTAATATATTTGTTTATCTTGTTCGCCGCATGCACAACAGATAATATAATTTCGTCGAACAGATAATAAAAGTTACTTTATACACATATATATATTTATATCTGCTTTGAAATGTGTTCGTCGTTGTTATTTACATCGGTTGTTATCATTGCGTGTGGTATAAATTAGCTTTGAATATAGCTTTAAATTAAATTTTTTAAATATTATTTTATATATTATTTTTTATTATTTTATATACCTGTTATTTTTTATTTAATTAATTATTGATTTATTACTATCCTTATTCTTTATTATCACGAATGTTTATTATTTTCTTATTGATTTTTGATAATTGATTTTAATAATATTTTTAAAAATTAAGCTAAAAAATAATTCATTAAATAAAAATTTATTGTGAGATAAAAATATATAGTATATAAAAATATAAAAAAATTAAATATTATTAATTTTTTCTTATAACATTTTGATGAGTTATAAAACTATGATCTGTCTCATAATCAATACATATATAAATATAATAATATAATTATAATATGATATAATATAATTATATTTTAAATTATATTTAATATTAAATTTTTTATAATTAAATTATATAATTAAATTTTTTATAATTATATATGTTTTTGCATATTGACAGTGTCGAACAAGATGGAATCTATTCAGCTACTGTATTATGGAACCGTAAAGGAGGATATCGTATTGACTTCTGGGGCCAAGGCAATGATCTAACTGCTGTGCCATTGCATGCAGCTCGAGCTTATTATAAAACTGGAATCTTCGAATATGGGTAGGTCAATGTTATTGCATCTATTCATTAGATAAGATTAATAGATCAAATATGTACATATATACCATAAATATGAATAAAAAGAAATTCATTAAAATTCATATAAAAATATTTTAATAAATTTTTCAATAAATTTTTCTTAATTTCATTATGTGTGAATAACAAAATTTATAAGAGAAGGAGAAAAAAGAGAGAGAGAAAATAACAATTAAAATAATTTTTTAGATGGTCTTATATCGAAATAGAAACATCGTCAAAATATCCAGACACTGTACAAGCTTACGCTGCCGGACTTTTAGAAGGTAGTCTTACTTGGCAATTGATTCATCATCATTGGTACAATACTATAAGATTAGAATGCGAAGCAAAACCTATCGAATGCCGAAAGTTAATGCGATATCTTCGAGATAACACTGCCGTCAATCGTAAACGCGCTGAACTGAAGGAATCTACTGATTCTTTTTGGCATATGGTATAACTAATCATCATTTTCAACTTAATTTTCATTATAATCAAAAAAATATTTAATATAATATAATTATTGTATATAATGAAATATTGAAAAATATAAAAATAATTAAAATTAATTTTTGCTTAGGTACGATTATTTTACGCTCAATTAGATGGTTTAGAAGCTGGTTGGAAATTTGCTGTACGTCGAAGTCGTGTATCGGCCTCATTAGAATCAGAAGATTTTCTTTGGCTTGCCTTGGCTTCTGATTTATCTGGTTTCCAACAAATATTTAATATTTCTGACTCCTTAGTAAGTTCCATGATCTACTTCAAATCGCTTCCAAGAGAAAATTCAGGACCATTAATTGCAATTAGTCATCATACATCAGCATCGTAAGTGAATTATCATCTGATCGTTCAATTTTCTAAAAATTTTAAATATAAACTGATGAGTTTTGCATTTTAAGCGACAAGGATAATTATAATAAATGTAGGTATAATTATACAAATAAATTCCATCAAGTATATTCAAACAAATAATTTTTTAAATAATTAAATCAATATAAATAAATTAAAAATTTATTTTCAATTTTCTAGATATACTCAAATGTTGAGACTTTTAAAAAAATATACATTTGGTTATCATATGCTACCTGTAACAAAAACTGCTGCATTAATTCCTAGTCGATCGATTGTGATGTCATCTTATCCCGGAGCATTGTCATCCCGAGATGAATTCTATTTAATAAATGGAGAAAATCGTGAATTGGTTGTTACCGGAACATCTTTATTAGTCACAAATCGAACTGAATGGAGTTTTTTATATCCAGATGATTATGTATGAATTAATTATTATATTTATTATAAATATTTTATATACAAAAATTAATTAAATAATACTAATAATAAAAAATATAGGTAATGCTAACTGTAAGATTAATGGCGGCAAATCGATTAGCAACAAACAGTCAATCTTGGTTTAATACATTGTCCTATCAAAATGACGGCGCTTCTGCATTTCAATGGATAATCTTCGAACCACGTTCCATGACATTATTATTAGTGGAACAATTACCAAGCATTGTTGTTCCTATAAATTACACTGAAGAGTTCAAGAAAACCGGTTTTATATCTTATATTGGTATATCAAACTTTAAAAGTACTAACGACATCGTACAACCTGTCAAAAAAAATTTAAATGTCTGGGAAACTCGTTTAATGCGTTTACAAAAAAACATCACTACATTTGAGCAGTTTCGAAATATGATGCGTGGATGCAGCCAGGAAGGTTGCTCTGCTATAAACCAAAAGACAGATTATATGCAGGAATTAATGTTTCGTGGAGATCTAAAGGATGTGCCTATACCATATGGTATTATAGATACAAAGATTTTAACAGTTGATATAGATGGTTTCAAAGGTTTCGAAGCTATTTCTGGACCATTACAATCTCGAACACCATTCAAATGGTCACAAAGTTTTCCGAATATTTCACATGTAGGACATCCAGATACTTTCAATTTTGAAAGTGTTACACCAAAATGGGTTTGGATTTAATTAGATTTAATTAATCACATTAAAGTTTTATATGATTGATACTTTTTCAAATTTTTTAAAGATTTTTTTAAAAAAATAAAAATGATTTTTCCATAAATTTCTACCAAATGGATTTTTAGACAAAATTTTTTTTTATTGTATTATAATATTTAAATATTTTGTAACTGGCTCATATGTTAGCCACCTATGGTGAAATGTTAAAAAATAAAATAAAATAAAATAAAATAAAATAAAAATTTATTACATTTTACTAATGTTATTCCAAAATCCTTTCTAAAATTCAAATATTAAGTAAAATTATATTATCAAATCTTTTTATGTAAATATTATCAAATATTTTTATTTAAAATTTAATACATATATAAAAAAAAAATATCTTTGAAGGATCAATTCTAAATATCAAAATAAAACAAAAATTAATATGAAAAAATATTGAAAAAAATTTATTTTAATTATAAGCGATTTAATTTTAATCTATACCATAAGCATATCATTTAATAGCATAGCAATATCATTTGATTAAAATGAAATTTGGATATTTCATAAATGTCAATAAAAAATTTAAAGAAATATTATATAATATATATATATACGTTACTCATAATAAATACACGTTATATTAGTTTAAATATTTATAATAATTACTTATATTAGTTTAAATATATAAAATAAAAAATACTAAACATTTTGCATATTTAATATTAAGTAAGTTAATAATAATATATTATATATAAAATAAATAATATATTAATAAATTTACTTTCAAATTTTATGTTGCAAAATTTTAATAGAGTTGTGTATCTCAAATAATATGAATATATTTTTTTTTAATTTTTTGTTAGGACGCTCGGCTATGTAAATGACAATTGTGATATTATGCTACGGTACTGCAAACCAATCAGCTGATTGTGAGATGTTTCATTCTATCTTCTAAATTTTACTTTATTTTGTGCGAAATTAAATTGCTAATGTAAAAAATATCAGTTTGACATTTTTATACGTCAACTTTTACTTTTATTTCGATATTTAGAATTAATTTTCTAAAGGTGTTTCAAATTTTTATAAACATTTTATATACATATATATTTGTTTTTTATGATTTCTATTTAATTCATATTTACTACATGAGAATTTACTAATTAAGTAAATTCTATATATTATTTTTATATTTTTAATTTAATAAAAAGACTAATTTTAATGCTTATGTTATAATATTTCTATCAAAAATAATTTAAAATGTCAATAAAATTAGATATGATAAATATATAATGTATGATATAATAAATATATAATATATGATAAATATATAAATATATAAATTTATAGAATCACATTATGCAATTTAAAAAAAAGGTTATTTTTTAAGTGAAATTAATGTATAACTGTGATATATATATATATATATATATATATATATATATATATATGTATATAATATAATGCAAATTTATATAATAAAATATATTTTAAAATTTTATATTTTTCTAATTTCATAATGTTTTTGATCATTGTTTATCATAAATATTATTATTATGATATGAAGATATTTGATCATAATCATGGAGAATAATGATCAAAAGCAAGTTTTTAATAATGAAATATTAAATGATATACATGTAAATGAAAATATGGATAACAATTTAATGAAAAAGGTTAGGCTATAGAATTTAATACTAATATTTCAAAATTTTTATAAAAACAGTATATTTTTTATAAATTTTCCTGTTTAATTTATATTCTATATTTATATTTTATTTAAAATAACATATAAAAATTTTATAATTTTTATATTTAAGAAAGTTGAATGCATATTCTTACATATAATATATAACATAAAATTTATTTTTTACTCTTATTAATAATAATAATAAATATATATTTTTAAGATTTTATCTGTTAAAAGTGAAGAAAGCATTCTTCATCAAGTATCAAAAGAAATAGATGACTTCATGAAATCAAATATATATACAAGAAGGAATGCAGAATTATATATTAATAAAAATAATATTATAAATTATTCAAAACAAAAAGAATTAAAAAAACAAGTTTTAACTGCAGAAATTACACCATTTACAGCAATTGAAAAACAATCTAACTTAACAATAACTAAAGGGTATGATAATAATATAACAATTTTACAAGAAAAAATAATAAAAATTAAATTTAAAATTATTTTTTTAGAACATTTAATAAATCTTCTTGTTTACTTAATCTTGAGAAATATCTTCAACAACAAGCTGAACTTGCTAAACAAAAAAAGCAATTGAAAGAAAATTCAAAAATATTTAAACATAACATTAATCATGTAGTGTCAACTAAAAAACCAAAATTATCAAATACTAACTTTAAAAAATGCAGAACTTTAAAGAAAATAAAGTTCAATATCAATAAAAGGAAGTTAATTTCTGAATTTAAAATAACAAAAAATTTAAATGAAAACAATGATGTTAATTATGAAATAAAATCTCACATTGAGAATTCTACGAAAGAAACTAAGCATTCTAAACGTATATTAGTTCCTTGCAAAATATCCACAGATAATACTAAAAAAAAATCAGTTGAAAATACAACAAACAATAAATATATAGATGTGACAAGTGATTCAGGAAGTGAATATGTACCAAGTGATGAACAAATTGAATCAGGTGAATATTATTACTAATTCAATTCAAAATTTAATAATAAATATTTTAAAAATTAGTTTTTTTTATTAAATTCTTTTTATAAATAAAATGTATAATGACTTTTTTTTTTAATTTTATAAAAGATGAAGGATCATCATGTAAAAAAAGGAAATCTTTTACAAAATCTATTCACACAAAAAGAGGTATATATTATGATGTATTAAAACTATTCATTGTAATATATAATTTTTATCAATAGAAAATTATGTGAATTTTAGTTTTGGATGATGGTGATGAACAAATATATAAACAAAGGGTAGAAAAAAATGGTTATCCAAAGGATGAATCATTACATAAAATAGATAATTTGTTTAAGATTCCGCAATTTATATGGAAAAAATTATATAAGTATGAATAATTATAATAATAATTATTTTATATAATATAAAAATATATATAATTAATTAAGAATTAATATTATAATATATATATTATATATATTATAATATATATAATTATATATAAATTTATATATTAATAAATATGATTAATTTTTTTAGATATCAGAAAATTTCTGTACAATGGTTATGGGAATTGCATCTTCGTAATTTAGGAGGATTATTAGGTGATGAAATGGGTTTGGGAAAGACTGTTCAAGTAATTGCATTTCTTGCAGGATTAGATTGTAGTGAATTATTATCTGATGGTGGAAGGTAAATAATTTTTACTTACCAACTACTATTTTTATTTTTGCAATATTTTATTTATTAATTACAAATTCAGAATCATTAAATATCATTCCTGAATGGTTTTCTCTTTAAAATTATTTACAGAATTCAACATATAAATTCAATATATAAATTCTGACTAAATAAAATTTTTCATAAAAATGCAAAAATATTACCTCAAAAATTCATGCATCAACATTTGAAGTGTAGTCTTTTGTATCGAAATAAAAAACATAAAATAAAAACTTTAATTAATATTGCATAAAATTTGCATTAGTATTTTTCTTATTGTTTATAATAATATATATTATACAATAATATATGTTTATAATAATTATATAAATTCATAATATTTAATTAATAATAAATACTTATTCACAGATTCAGAGGATTAGGACCAACTATCGTTATTTGTCCAGCTACATTAATGGAACAATGGGTAAAACATTTTCATGAATGGTGGCCCATTCTTAGAATAGTTGTTTTACATCAATCTGGAACTTATAATGGTAAGAATAATATTATATATATAAAATATAATCTTATTTATTACTTTTATATTATTAATAAATATTTGTAGGTAATTTGGAATATTTGATACATTCATTAAAATCTGGTGGTATAATAATTACTTCTTATTCTGGTATGCTTAAACATAAAGACTTACTTGTATCCAATCAATGGCATTATGTTATACTTGATGAAGGTCATAAAATAAGAAATCCACAAGCAAAGGTAATTTATTATGTTCAATTTAACTTTAATTATGAAAGTTCAAGATTACATTATTGCAGGTCAGTAAAGCAGTAAAGGAGTTTTCTACACCACATCGACTTTTATTAACTGGTAGTCCTATGCAAAATTCTTTAAAAGAACTGTGGTCTCTTTTTGATTTTATTCTACCAGGAAAGTTAGGAACTTTACCTGCATTTCTAGAGCATTGTGCAGGTCCTATAACGCGAGGAGGATATGCTAATGCTACACCTCTTCAGGAAGCTACAGCACTTCAAGTTGCTATGATGCTTAGAGATGCTATTACACCATATATGCTCCGAAGAACAAAAAATGATGTACAACATCATGTTAGTTTACCAGAAAAAAATGAACAGGTTTATAATATGTTACATTATTTTTCATAATACTTCATAATTTATTATTTTTAATTCATGTATATTTTTTCTTAGATTCTGTTTTGTAGTTTAACGGAAGAACAAAAGAAGCTATATAAAAAATATTTACGTTCTACAGATATTAATTTCATTTTACATGAAAAAAATAATATAGAAAATGGAAAATATAGAGCTCGTCTTTTAATAGCATTATCAGCGCTCAGAAAAATATGTAACCATCCTGATTTATATGTTTACACCAGTCCAATTGTAAAATTTGAATTTTATATCATATATTGCAATATTATATATATTATTCATTTCATATTTAATTAAACTTTTATTTAGGATTCTGATGAAGACATTGATATATCAGATAAAACATTGGAGAAATTTGGATACTGGAAACATTCTGGCAAAATGATAGTAGTTCGATCTCTTCTTAAAATTTGGAAGAAACAAGGACATAGAGTACTTCTTTTTACTCAAGGAAGACAAGTAAATAAATTATATAATTATTCATTAAAAAAAACAAATTAAAAAATAATTTATGACTATTTTTGATTTACAGATGATGCATGTTTTAGAATCTTTGGTACAAAGTGAACAATACACTTATTTAAGAATGGATGGAACTACTCCTATGTCACATCGACAAGAAACAATTCGTTCGTTTAATAGAGTATATATATTAATAAATAATAAATATAGTTTATTAATATTTTAAGTTAGTTAATTTTATAATTTAAAATTTTTTAGGATTCATCATATTTTATTTTCCTATTAACTACACGTGTTGGAGGTTTAGGAGTAAATTTAACAGGAGCAAATCGGGTAGTTATTTATGATCCAGACTGGAATCCAGCAACTGATGCTCAAGCAAGAGAACGTGCATGGAGAATTGGACAAAATAAAAATGTCACTATCTATAGACTTATTACTGCTGGTACTATTGAAGAAAAGGTAAAATAATAATTTTTCCTTTTGCTAAACATTTTTTTATTAAAAATTAACAATTATAAATAAACATTCTCAAACATTTATTTATTTATTTTAATAAAAATGTTATTCCTGTAAAAAAATTCTATTTTGTTTCAGATTTATCACAGACAAATATTTAAAATACTTCTTTCAAATAAAGTCTTAGAAGATCCACGACAACGTAGATTATTTAAAACTAATGATTTAGTTGAACTTTTTAATTTCAATGAATCTATAGATGGTCATTCTAGTGAGTCTGATAAATTATTTCAAGAATCTAGATTAATTCCTTCGATTAATAAATTTTCATCTAATAAAATTGAAAAAATGCAAAAAATGGCAACCAAACTTAGCAAAAATATAAGTCAAAATGTCTCAAAGTATACATCTGCAATACAAATAACAGCTGCTTCAGACAATAATTGTTCTTCAAGTTGCTATAATAATAATGTTGATCAAGATATTAAAATATGTAAAAATAATTTAACAAAACAAATCATCAAAAATGAAAATATACTCTTTTCTGAAAATCAAAAAAATGATAATAACAAAACTATGGAGAATAAAATTATAAAAAATACTGAACACAATACGGATAATATGATTGATAAACTAGAAAATGAAAATTATGTTTTAACAAACAAGTCAAATTCTAATATTAAAAAAAATGAAACTATTGTACAAAGTGATTCCAATATAATCAAAGTTTCATATAAAAATAATCAAATGATTTTAGATAATGAAAATAAGAATGCATCTTTAAAATTAAATAAGACGCATTATAAAAAAAAAAATAAGAAAAGTTCAATATCAGAAAATCATACTGCTTCAGCTTTATTTGAAGGAGAACGTATCTCACATTTAATTGGACGACGTCTTGGATGTTCGCTAACAAAAGAATCTAAATCTTCATCAATTGAAGATGATCAATATGTTTTAGAAAAATTATTTGCTAAAGCGAGTAATTGTTGCTTATTATATAATTGAATTCTTATATAAAATATATATAGAATAATAATAAACATATAAAATAATTTTTTCTAGATGTAATGTCTGCTTTTCAACATGAAACAGTATTATTAAATTCAAAGTATAATTCAGATGATAAAAATCCGATGCAACGATTAGCGCGTGAAACAGCGCAAGAAAATATGGATAATATTCGTAAATCTCGGAAATGGTGTTGGAAACCCACATGGAATTCTACATTATTAAAAAATAATTAATTTTTTGTGGATAATTAATATTTGAATTTAATCTGTTATATGTATATTTTATCAAAAGTTCTTTTATTTAATAATTTTGAATTTTCTAATCAAACAAGTAGAAAAGAAATTAATATTGATTTAAATTTGTATTCACAAAAAAATAACACTGTTTAAACAAATGGATATATGTACAACAAATATTTATAACTTAAAGTATTTTTTCCTAATAATTCATATTAAAGTAATTTTTTATATTTTTGTAATTTTACTTTTTTTAATTTTCTAAAAAAAATATTATGTTTATAATTATTTCTTATTTAAATATTAAATTATTTTTATACATTAAATATAAATGTATGAATAGTTAGAAACAAGAAAGTTTTTTCATTATGATACTGTCATTCCTTATATTATCTATATATATATATATATATATATATATATATATATATATACACATATATACATATATACATATATACATATATACTCAGGCACTTAGCACTTATAAAAGGTGAATTGAAACTTAAGAAATGTAACATGTAATATTTTCATGATCAAAAAAATACTACTATTTTTTTAATTAAATTCTTTAAATATTTTTTACTTATATTACTAACTATATAACACTTTGGTGTATATGAATTACTATAATTTATTATTAAGTAATTGTAATTAAGTAATTAAACAATTAAAAAAAATTTGTGAAAACATTTTTTATCGAAAATTTTGTATACTCATGTATATACTAAACATATATGAATATACATATTTATATATTTACAATGAGTATACTTAACTTATTAATAAAAGAAATTTCTTCATAAAATATTCTTTTTTACCTTTTTACATTCAATACCTTAGAAATTCTTGAAGCTTAGGACCATTTCTACCTAAAGGATCTTCAGGAAACATAACATAATTTCCTACAAATGTTGGAGTTAATAATCGTTTTTCGATTGTTTCGCGCCATTCTGGTTTTTCATTATATAAATCTCTATATTGATCTAAAGAAACTACAATACCTCCACACATTGTTGCATATTCTAATATAAATCTAGAAATAATAAAAATATTATTATATAAATTAAAATAGTTCATGTTATTAAGAAAACATAAATTTACCGATCATCGTAAGGAGTTATCCGTTTACCACCGATAAAACGACTTGGTGTAAAAATTACTATTCCATCTGCATACATCTTTTCAAGTAATGGATGGTTTGTTGATCTCCTATATAATGGTACAAATACTTTCACAATATGGCCTCTTTGTCTGAAATAATTTGCAACTATCATAATTCCTTCTTCTGAAAATGTTTTACCATTTTTATGCCTAAAATATTAAACTTATGTTATATATGTGATTAAAATAAATAAATTAAATATATTCACTAAAAAGTTAAGATTATCATACGCCATAGCTATATTGTTGCCATCAATTACTATTTCCCTTAATTTATTACATGGTTGTGTAGATGATCCAACTGTAGATAATTCAGATCTATATAGTTCAAATCTGGATCCAATGTTATTTGTTTTAAATGCAAATGCAGTTTGAGGATTGTATAGAATTGGTACTGTACATCTGGTAGATGTAGTAGATGTAGTATATTTATTAAATGTAGTAGGTGTAGTAAATTTAGTGTACTTAGTAAGTGTAGTAGATATAGTAGTAGATGTAGGATATTTAGTAAATGTAGCAGATGTACTAGATATAGTAGATGTAGTAGATGTATTAGATATAGAATAATTCAATATTCGTCGTCTAAGATTCCTTAATCTTTGAGGTGTTTTTGGTTTACTCATTATAATATTTTTACTTATATTATGAGGTTTAGGAAGTTTCAAACCACTTTTACTGAAAGGTAGATAATTAGGATTTTCAATTTCATCTTCTTTTTTTTCTTCATTTTGTGCATCATTTTCTTGAATATTTTTTTTATTTTGCTGTGATATTATTTCCTCATCACATTCTAAACAACTAAGATTCTTTGGATCTGGAGTACTATCTATCATAAAAATTCTATCATTCTTCTCTTGATCTATAGTTCTTATTTTTTCTTGATCTATAGATGGAGGAGTTCCCGTAGATGACCATACTACAACAATGTCATCTGATCCTTGAGTTACATAATCTGAGACTGGAACTATAAAAATTAAATTATAATAAAATAATATATTTGTTTTATAATAAATTTTTTACCTCTGTTTTCATCATCTAAATCTACAGTTGTAATTTCTGAATCTTCTGTATCAGATATTAAAAGACAAGATGAATTATTTTCTAATAATGCAACAATATTTTTTTTTTTTCTTTTTCTTGGAGGTCTTTCTATTTCAGTTTTTGTTTGATTTAAAATTTCATTTGAATTACTTTGTGTATTTTGCTTTTCATTTATTAATATACTTAAAGATCTCTTTTTTGTTTTTTTTTTTTTTTTACAATTATTTTCATCTGCTTTGTTATTTGATTCACTTTCATTATCACTTAAAATAATTATGGTATCTTGTAAAGATTTTTCTTTTGTCGAAGAAATATTTTTTTTATTTCTTGTGATCTGTTTAGTTTTACGAATTAATTTTTTTAATGTTTGCGTTTGTTCTTTTTTTTTGTTGCTATACAAGGAATTTTTATATTTTTTATTTATATTATATATGATTTTATTCGCATTACATTTTTTTTTTTTACATCATAAATTTTTCCACAAAACTTTATCTCTTTTTTATGAGTAAAAATAAAAAAGAATATTATTGAATATAGATTGTTTTGAAAAATTATAACAAAAATAACAATAATCTTTTGTTCAATATAAATTAATATTGCCAATTATATTTAATATATTTATACAAATAATATTTACTTTGCCGATCATTATAGATAATATGATTTATGTTAAAACTAAGTTGAACTGGTAATCTATTTTTATGTGTTATTGAACAAGATATTAATCCATAGTTATTTTATAATATTATTATAACATTTAAATATGATATTTATGATTATAAAATATTTTTTTTTATTTTTATTCATAGAATATGCTAGTAAATTTTGGAAAATTTGACACTCTGAATAAATTTATTTTTTTTTTTTATTACCTTAATTGAATATACTTTAATGGTCTTTCATAGAATGTTCGTTTTACATTTTTTCTTGACTTTTTTATTCCTAAAGGGGTTTTTTTCTTTGTTGACTTTGGAGATACATTACAAATTATAACAGAGTTGTTCAAAGTACTCATTTTAAGATTAATACTTTTTTAATATATCATTCTAAATGTTAACATTTATATTTTATAAATAATATATTTTATAAACAAAATATGAAACTGCTCCTTAAACAATATAAAAAACTTGAAATGTTCTTTATTAATTATTTAAAAAAAATTGATCATAAATCCGCTACTTACGGTTGAAGTATAAAATAAATTAACACTTGTAAATACGTTGATGAAAACTGTTAATAATTATATAAATATATATGTAATCAATATTAAATAAATTATTTTAACATTTTTAACCAATTTTAATTTTGTACATTTTTAACCATTTTTCACGAAATTTTTTATAAATAAAGAAACAATTATATTTTTCTGTCATTAAATATTATTTAACCTCTTCTATAAACTAACCAGAAAATATCATTAGTACAATACAAAAGTTTAAACAGCTGAAAATTTCCCTATAAAGTATACACAGTAATTATACTTGTATAATAAATCTTATTTTATTCTTCTAACTCTTTTAATAATTAAAATTTATATTTTTTTACGTTATTCAATTCCATGAAATTTAATTTCATAAAAACAATATCGTCTTGATATAAGAATTTCATATATTTATTTTCTCTTATTATACACCAAAAAAAAAAAAAAAAAAAAAATTAATAAAAAAATAAAAAAATAGAAACATTATTATATATTATACGAAATAAAAAAAAATAGAATTATTGCAATTATTATCATATTATATATCATATATTATATATTATAAATTAATATATTTATAAATAATTATAAAATATTATTACAATTTAAAAACATTAATAGATAATAAATGTGCAATATTAAAATTAATTATTATTAAAACACTAAAATAGGAAAAGAAAAAACATGAAAAATCATATGTGAAAAAAGTCAAAATTATCAATTACTTTGTCAATCTAGTAATCTATATATAATGCTTCAAGCATGTAGCGCGACAGCAACAACCAATCCTGAATACAGTAAATCTATAATGCGAAAAAGACATCGTCGATTGGTCAAAATTCGTACAATAGTGCGGGGGAAGTGAATGTATGTTGGTCTGACTCGAACGCGACTACATCCCCGTGCCAGCGAGCAAGTAGTAACGCTATCGTTAGAATTTTGTCTTTTGTTTAGTTTCTTTATGTTTATTTTTTCGAGAAGAAGTTGAATTTAAGAATCGTGATATTATTGAAACGAACATCTAATGTACGGGGATCTAATAGAAAGTACGCTAGCACCGGTTCCATGCTAGATTTTCAGTGTGCAAGTAGTCGAAAGCGTATTCAGGCAGCCTTCAACGTAAACAAAAATGGAGTTAGGGGAGGGAGAAGCTCAAATTTGTCGACTTTGCGGTCAATGTGAGAGTATATACATTGATGTGTTTGGTGAAGAAGGCACAAAACGATTTTTAGGCTTAAAAATTCATACAAGAATCAACATTCTGGTAAGTACAATATAAAAGGTGTGTCGTGGGGTCCGGGCCCCAATTGTAGTTAAAGGAGGGGGTTAGAAAAATGGCCGGAGGGGCGTAGAGCACGTAAAGAAAAAAATATCTTATTTTTTTGTTCTTGTTGCATTATATTTTTTAAAAAAAGTTTGATTTTCTTAATTTTATTATAATATGAAATCCATATTAATATTAAGTTCATTTCTTATATCTCACTGTTTATTTATGTATTTATTTTATATAAAATTGTGAGGAACAAAAGATGTAATTTAAATTAAACTTAAAGAAACTGAATAAATTTTTTTGTATGTAAATTAATTGTATAATTTAAGCATGTATAATATATTTATAAATATGTAATATTTTATACTTGTATGTGCAATTATATAGTATATAAGAGTGATTATTTTTATTTATTTATAAATCTATATATTTAATTTATATCTAAACATTTGATATTAAATGTTGATATTCCTTATACTATAATTACATTTTATTTAAAATTTTGTTAAGAATTTTATATTTTATAAATATTTCCTTTTTCAATTTGATTAATGAAGAAATTAATTTGATTTTTAAAATATTAATTTTTTAATATTTCTTTTAAAAATTTATATAAATATGAGAAAAAATTGTTAATTTAATATTTAATGTTTATATAAAAATTAAGTTTTATTATTAAATATTTGTAAATAATTATAAATATTGTATTATAATTATGATTATAAATATTGAAATTAGAAATGTATTAGAGTGGGTATTAGATTATAAGAATTTTCAGAATGGTGTATCTACAGAGCGGTAGGGTTTGAATTATAATATTCATAATTTTCTTTTAATAAAACACTATAGTTTTCCATTTCAATTAAAAATTATATAGAATCAGATTTTCAATTAAGATTTTTAAAATCACATATATTTAGTATTTAGATATTTTGTTTGAATCGCAGATAGATGAAAGGGATCCTCTGCCCAAGGCGATCTGTGTTCAATGTCTGGGCAAACTCGAATTTGTTTGCGACTTCCAAGAGGAGTGTCTTCGCACCCAACAAGTGTTACGCGATCGATACATTCTACCATCCTTAACAGAGATTGTAAGTTTATATTTAAATTTAATGCATAGCTCTACCGCTCATCTATGATGCTACCAGAACAGCTCATTTCTTTTTTTGAATTTTAAATTATATATATTAATTATATATATAAAAAGATATCATCTGGTATTTTAGTTCATAGAAAATTTCAGAAATAATAAGGAAAATTGTACACATTTTATTGAATATATAGTATATGTATATAATAAATAATATATATTATATAATAAAAAATATGTACTATAAATACCAGATTGAATTCATTTGCTTTAATAAAATTAATCAATTTCTAGTACCCACTTTTATTTTTATTTCAATCTATCTTTAGGCTGAAGTAAAGACTGAAGTTACACCAAGTACATCAACATACAACAACAACAATGACACCAATATAAATCTTAATTCTTCAAATGATGAGGACATTCAAAAAGTAGATCAGCATGTTCTAAGAACAACTACAAAAATTCAAAAAAATACGAAGAATCAACAAGTAAAAGGCAATGAAGAAACTTCCAAAGATCAAACTAATATTCAAAATACGAGTGAAAAAAATACTGAGAATGTCCAAATTCAGAAATGTGAGACAACTCCTACACGATGGCTTAGAAGTAGACAAAGTATAGAAACTGTTACAAATGAAACAGCTACTGATACACCAATTGCAAATAGACTTAGAAGTCATGATAATACTACCACAGAATTAACTGTTAGTCCACGTAGTTGTTCTAAGGAAAATAGTGAAAAATTGACTGGAAAACAGCAAGATCCACATACTATTCAAATTCCAACATCAGCATTAAATAAACTTCTCAGTATTGTGTCAAATTCTCCAAATATTGAAGTTTCTGTGAAAGAATCTAGAAATCAAAGCAGCGATATTGAAGATATTAGTTTTACTGTAGAATTATGTAAAAAGGAAAGTGATGATATAGCTACTGCTCGAGCACGAGTATTTCCAGATCAAGGTTCCTGTTTGGTTGATAAGGCTATAGTTGGTCTTTTACAAAATCAAAGTTGTGTAGAAGTTAATAGTATAATAAACACAATTATCGACAGTAGTCTGAAAAACGGTAATTCGACAAAATTAGAAGATTCCGCTGAATTTGAGCAAAAATGGCAAGCTTCTCAAAACCCGAAGGAACTTTTCAAGATTGATGGGGAAGAAATTCGTGTCGATGATAACGTTGAACACGTCGTTACAAATAATCAAAATGGTTATTCTTGTAAATTGTGTCGTAAATTTTATGAACGCAAAGACAAATGTATGGTTCACGTGAAAACACATCTTGGTATTAAACAATACACATGTATTCTATGCAACGCTAAATTTGTATGTAAGTCTGATGTCATGAAACATATTCGATGCACACATACTAATCCGAGACCAATACAATGTCCAAAATGTCCAAAGAGATTCAAGTCAAAGTTCTATTTAATGGAACACGATAATGTACATAAAGGTGTGAGACCTTATTCTTGTACAGATTGCGGTCAAAGTTACCATCATAAAGTATCGTTACAACTTCATATGAAATCACATTTACCTCCACAGAACTTAGCATGCGAATATTGTGGCAAAGTATTTCCGTATCGTACGAGATTATTAAGTCACATAGCTAGTGTACATTTAAAAAATCGTCGCAATTTTAGATGTCGATTTTGTTACAATCTTTATTCAAGTCTTTCAGTTTTGAATGAACATATTAAAACGCGTCATGCAACTACATATACTTGTGAAGTTTGCAATAAAACGTTCAAAGTCGCGTCCAAATATAAGGCTCACGTATTACAGCATTCAAATCCTAAGCCATTCGTATGCAATGTTTGTAATAATAGATATGCATCCAAAGCATTCCTAAATGAACATCTATCAAAACACGAAGGGCTGAGGAAACATATCTGCCAAAAGTGTGGTGCAAGATTCGCTCAAGCTAGTCATCTGGCTGCACATCGGCACGTGCACGGTGAAAAAGAGCACGCTTGTCCGGAGTGTGGGCGAAAGTTTAATAGGCGTGATAACATGAAGGTACATAGAAAAAGACACTTTGAAGAAAAAATAACTAATAATAGCAAACAAAAAAACACTTTTAGTGGCGAGGTAGCTTCTACTACGTCTAATGAAAAGTAATAGTACTGAAATAGCTCTGATATTTTTGTAAAGTTGTGTCTATGCTATATAACAAAATATATTATATAGCAATGTTATATGATTGATTAGAAAAACTGAAAGGATAATGTTATATTTTTCATATTATATATACAACGAATTAGTCAAATATCGGTAGAGATTAAGATCAAAATAAGAGATTGTATCATATAACGCATTGCCATCAATTACAATATAATGTAAACATAAGTTAAATAGAATTTTTTTTTGAAATTTTTAACTCCAATAATACAATAAAGATCCGAAATTGTATCGAAAACGAATACATTTACATTTTATAAAAGTTATAAGTTATATGAATTTTTCTAATCTTTTATATTTTTATGTTGGCGATAGCGTTGCATTTTTTCAACGATGTTTTTGTCTTTTCCTTCACAGTTATTCATTGCATTGTATGAATTAATTCTTATCTTAGCAATACAATTTCATTTGATTAATTTTTTAATCTGTCAATTCAATTCTATTGATTATCTCAAAATTATTTCTTTTTCATGTAAATCATTATCTTCATAGTCCATTTCCATATCTAATTCAACATCATCATCAATTTATATATCTATTTCAAATCTGTTTTTATTTAGTTTTAGTACTTATTGTCTTGTTTTTTATTTTAGTTTTTTTTTAAGTTCACATATTATTCAAAAATTATTAGATTGATTATGTTTCTTGTATTGATGTATTTTTTAAAAATAATATCTCCGTATCTACAACTTTTTCGGCATTTTGTTACTATCATTTAAAGATTTAGTTGTCAGAATATTTTTTTATTTTTTCGTTTCCTATACATATAACATCTTACTTAATGAAATTATATATACATATATATATTGTTATGACATTTCTTTCAGTAATAATAAGTCATATGTTTTTTGTTATATAGTATAGATGCAGTTTAAAATTAATTTAAATCAGTTTAGAACTTTTCAAAGAAATGTTTCTTTAATTTTTAATCTTATTCAAGCGATATCTATTCAATGCGTTTTTAAGTGATTGTAAAATATTGCTGCAAGATTTAAAAGTAAATATTTGTTTAATCACGAGAAAATTAGCTATTAATCATGAATTACTAATAATTCTTTTAAATTTTGGAGCAATATATAATATCAAATGAATGAATGAGCAATACTAATCAGTCAATTTACTCTCTTCCTCTTGTCGCTCGTATTTTTTTTTATATTATATTAGTCGCGGTTTTGTACATAACGTAGAAATGCATTTAAGAGAGTACTGATATCATTTAAGTATTTTTTCCATTTATATACATTACATTAGAAAATATTTTTGCACGTGAAATGCTATTGATTAGAATTTACCAAAGCTGTAATAAAGACAAACTGCGAAACATGACAAAACATTGCGATAACACAATAGAAAAAATGATCAATTAGGAAAATCAAAAATATTATTGGATATATTATTATAAAAAATTTGTATGTTTATTGCACAGTTAACTTTCTAGGAAAATTTAATTCATGAAAAAAATTGTATATGAATAGGGCTTCCAAAATCAAAACTTCTAACTAAAAAATATATAAAAATAAAGAAAAAATTTTTCTATATATTTTTACATAATTGTTTATAAAAAAACTTTTACATAATATAATGTGCAAAGTATATTTTACTCTATTTTCGATTCTATTTTTCATATTATATATATATTGATGAAGAGATTCAGTGAAATAGAATGCAAAAAATTAAAATTTTATAAAAAACATTATTTTTGATTAACAATAAAAGTCTTTAGATACAAATTTTAATCGATAGATCTTATATTATTAAAAATAACAAAAATATTTAGCTACGAAGATAATGTATACAATAAATTATATAAGAAAACATATGTGATTTACGATAAAAAACAGAATTGTATCGTAAGTGCCTTGATCGATTTTATGCTATTCATATATTACACAAAAATATTAAAGAATGAAAAAAGCGTTGATGATTCTTTGAATATGTATCACGTGCAATATTGATCTTTTTAAAAAGGAAACAAAAAATTATAATTTTTTGTGCTCAATATGAATTATAATATGAATTATAAACTATACTGAATATTTTAAAAGAAATTATAAAGTAGTAATTAAGGATTTAAAAAAATTTTTAAAAATAATGAATATAAATTTTTTCATTATTTTTATTTAGAATTTAATACTAATAGAATATAATATATATAGTATATAGAACGAAATTAATGAGAATCATCGTCTTTAATGAGAAATCATCGAAATATTAAATAATATTTCAACATATTCAATGTAAATCTATAAAGTATTTAAATTTTCTTTTTATAAAGTGGTGTCTTATTTATCTTTCCAACGTATGAGCACAAAAAATTATATATTACATAAACGATTATTATCTTTCTTCGGAACAAATTGTTCCTATGAGAAATTAAAATCGTGCGAAGTATATTATATCTATAATATTTACATTCTTAGATAAGTGATAAGCAATAATTCTTATTTTGTACAAGAAATTTTATTAAAACAGTTTACTTTTCTAAGAGGTAATAAATATATCGGATAAAGTATGTATATTATGTATATATATATACATATATATATACTTTTAAATAAACATCATTAAAGTGCAGTATGAATTAGCATATATAACGATTTTCCAATAATAAAGAAAAAAGCATATATTTGTTTAAGGATTCTACAATTTTTCTGAATAAAGGTACGATATTTTTGGGACCGCTAATTATTTGATTTTTACTTTTATTTTTTCCATTCCATTTTTTATTTATCTTACATGTAATTCATATTTATCTTGCATGTACATAAAATAATATGGTTCAACAAGGTTTGTTTTAATATCAATAATGTCTCTGTAGAATTCTTAAATAATAAAAATATGTTATTATTTAATTTAAATTTATTTAAACCTAGGCCTTTTATTTAAATTAAGATAAATGATTCGTATTAACATTATTAAAAAATAATTGAAATATCACTTTATATTTTATATTTGAGAATGAAATTTTATGTTGTTTATAAGAACGTTCATTCTTTGGACACAGAAGTTTTTTTGTTGTTTCAGGTAAAAGAGAATGATGGATTGCCACAAGTTGTTTGTATACGATGTTTGGGCACACTGGAATTTCTATGCGATTTTTACGAGCGTTGTCATCTTACGCAAAAGGAATTTTTAAAAACTGTAAGATATATATATTATAATACTTATAATACTAATAATTATAATATATATATAATAATTTGTTATTTTTATTTATATATAAATATAATAATTAGATAAATAGATTTTTTTATTCATTGTTAAAGAAAATAATTATAAAATAATTTACATATTTTCTTTATGATTATTCTTATTTTTAATTACAATATAATTTTGATACTTGATATAATATAAAAATCTTATTAAAAGATATTTTAAAATTATTATTTGAAATAAATTCAAAATAATTCTAAAATTAACAATTGAATAAAAAATAACGATAATCATAAAGAATTTATTATTATTATAAAGAATTAATTTATTTATTATGTTTATTTATTTAATATGATTTTAAAATTTTTACTAAGTTCAATTATGTTATCAAAATATCTTTTGCAAAATTATAATATGTATGTTATATATAAATTAAATTATAATATAATGTATAATATAATATATATAAATTAAATTATAATATATGTATAATATAGTATATATAATATAATTACAATAATTTAGAAATTTTTATATTTTTTATATTTATTTTTGAAAGATTAAAAATATTTTATTATATTTTTTATGTGAGTGATGATATTTAAAATATTTTGTTTTCAGAGCCAAAATCAAAATATAATAAATGAGAAATTACTGCAAGATTCTATTAATGAAACAGAATCAGATAAAGAAAACGATGTTCCATTTGTAAATGAAATTAAATGGAAAGCAAAAGTTTTATCACCCGATAATTTAAAAAAATCAAAAAATTATCTGTCTGAAAATAATACATTATACAGAACTGAAAATAAAGAGGAAAATGATGATCACATAGATAATAATATTTCTATTGATAATGTTCATTTGATTACACAAACACAATTAACCAATATAATTTCTAAAAATCAATCTATAATAAAAAATGTAATTTCACATGAAAATATATCAAAAAATGATCAACATAATGTTAATAATTTAAAAGAGAATATGTATAATTTAAAAGAAAATATTTTGGAAAAAAATATAAATTACATAACAAAATCAACAAATGACTTAAATACATCTCAAATAAATGAAACAAATGTTAATATAAATTTAAATCAACCTATACAACGTAAAAGAGGACGAAAAAGTAAATTAGAAAAAATGAAAGAAGTAAGTTTAACAACAAACTACAAAAAAAAGATTCAAAATCATTTAAGTGATAAAAAAAGAGATAATATTAATAATGAATACAAAAGATATTGTTTGCGTGCTATTTGTACAACTACTAAGTCTAATAGTATAAATAATAATGCTACAATCACATCTAAACCACAAGTTAAACAAACAGAAGCTGAACAGATGTCAGTAAATACATCAATGAATGCAAATTACACCAAAGGTAATAAAACTGATACAATGATTAATAAACTAACTATAATTGAATCTGATGATAAAAATTCAATAAGATCTAATAATTTGAAAGATACAGAAAAGAATTCTGAAAAAAATAAAGCGATATCGATTAATGTAAAACAAGAGAAAGGGGAAGCAGAAACTTCTAGACAATTGAATCAACTAGTTCTTAATCAAATACAAAATCAAAAGTCAAAAGTAGATCAAGAAAAAACAGATTTAACATGTGTATTAATGGAAAAAATTGAAAATATTAAAAATATTGAAACGAATTTGATATCAGAACAAAGTATTATTAAATATCCTGATATAAGAATTTCTTCCGATAATAATAATCAACAATCAAAAATATTCACAGAAAAAAATCGAGTAACTATTATAAAGTCTTCACAATTTAAAGATGTGACAAATTTAAAAATAATGCAAGATTCTACAAAATTAAATAATACAATTAATGTAACAGATCAAAATACTAAAACTGAGTTAGAATGTAATCTTAATGAATGTTCATTGCCTCAACAATTAAGTCAAAATAGTTTTAATAAAAATCAGAGTAAAAATAGATCATTTGGCAAAATTTCCGAATTGATAAGTGATGAACAAAAACGAACTATTGAAAGTTATTATACAGTCGACATGTCGATTGTAAACTCAGAAGAAGTACAAAAAAATATAACAATAATTAATAAAAAAAACATACGTTGCAATATTTGTGGTACTTTTTACCTTAGAATGGATAAATGTCAGGTAAATTTAAAAATTATTTTAATTGAAAATAGAAAATTATTTAAATATGTAATGAAATAATTATATTAAAATATTATAGGTTCATATTTGGGGACATTTACAAATGAAGCCCTATCAATGTAAAGCTTGTGATTTTGCCACAGTTACTGTTAGTAATGTTCGTTGCCATATCAGAAAAAGTCATTTAAAGATTAAACCATTTGCGTGCCATCTTTGTGAAAAGCGATATGTAACTGCTATTTTATTAGAAGAACATATTAATACTCATACAGGAGCCCGTCCATATAAATGCAAGCTTTGTGATTTTGCAAGTTCCAGTAGACAAATATTAAGTTATCATAATGCTACTCATAAGCCATTAAAGGTATTGCCAAAAAAATCCTGTAATATATTAAATAATGGATATTTATCATTTTATTTATTCTTCTTTAATTATTATAGGACATTAGTTGTAAAATTTGCGGTAAAGAGTTTTATTCAAGAAGTAGATTACGTGCACATATGATTGTACACAATAAGGACAAAGCTGTTATGTGTAAATTGTGTTCTGCTTATTTATCTAATGCAGAAGCATTAAAAACACATTACAAGAACATTCATATGCAAGATTATGTTTGTAATATCTGTGGTAAACACGTCAAGTCTAGAAAAGCTTTGCATAATCATCAGAATGTAATACTTGCTTTGCTATATAATTTAAATAATATATATAATTAATTACTAATTAAAAATATGATTACAAAACTAAATTTTCTTCATAGGTTCATGCTGCTGCAAGATTTAAATGTACTCTTTGCCCAAATGTATATAAGACTAGCCAAATATTAAAAGAACATCTTTTAAAGCACGAAGGTATTAGAAAATATAAATGTAATATTTGTGAAAAATCATTTGGTCAACAATCTCATTTAGCTGCTCATATGGCAGTGCACAGTAATATTAGGTAAAGTTTTTTAATAATATTTTAATAGCATTTTAATAGCTTTTAACATCAATATTTAATTATATCTTATATCTTATTCATAGATTCCATTGTCCTGGATGTGATAAGCCTTTTAATCGGCAAGACAATATGAAAATACATACTAAACGATGCAAACCATTTTTGGCAAATCCAAATCTAAAAAATCTTTTAAGTAAAAGAGAAAGAACTATATCGTTTAATAATATAGCAGAATTAACTGCAGAATTGAAGAATGGAAATGTGACAAATTCAATATCTCAAGTTCCTCTCAAAAATGAGAATGATAAGATATTAGTAAAGACTGTAGAAGAAAAACAAAAGACTGTAATAAATCTCTGCAAATTAGGATTAAATATCTCTTGCATTAAACCAACAAATAATAAAATGAGTCCAGATCATATTACAAATTCTTTTGAAAAAAATGTAATTAAGATCACAGATAACAATGATAAATTAATTTCAGAAAATGAAAAGTTGTTAGTTTTTGAAAATATTTTAGGACCAGAAAATTATTAATTATTAACAATTTTTTATATGAATCAATATAAGAAAATTTCATCATTAAATATCTTATAAGACATTATCATTAAATATCTTATAACCAATATAAGAAATATTCATATAATTACAAAACTAAATAATTTTTTTAAATTGTTACTCTTAATAGAGTTCATTATTTAATAATATTTAGAATTTATATTTGATATATTTAAATAATCATTCCATACAATTTATTAAGCTAAGGTTTTAATTATAATACTACTACTTTTAACAATACTACTTTTTAATTAATAAGGTTTAATATTATGCGATATTTTATTAACAAAATATGTTAAATTTTTTCAAATTTATCTATAAATTAAATAAACTATAGTATATAAAAATCGATATGCATGAATGATAATTTAATTAATATTATCTAAATCATTATTTGTTTGATAATCATGTATTTCGATTTTTATTTAAGGAGTTATCTTGCCTTGATGAAAACTTCAAATATAACCAAAGAAAACACCTTGCTATTATAAATTTATTACCTTTTTACATATTAGAACAGAGTTTCATCAAGGTGAAATAAAATACTCTTACGCTTATTTACTTATAAAAAAGAGATAAGACTGATAATTGATATGTATTTAACTTTATAACTAGAAGTTCCTATTTAAAATAATTAGGCCTTAAAAATTTATTTCACATGGGAACAAAAATTTCGATGTAATATTAAAATTTCAATCGTGATTATTATAATTTTTATCATTTAATTTCTTAAAATAAGTACAATACTTGCCATTTAAACCAAATGAAGAATTAAAAAATAAAGACTTCACTTAAATTGTATTTTAATATTCATATTTTAAAAATGTAATTTATGAAAATTGTTTCAATAAAGTTTGAATAAATTTACTAATATTCTTCAAATAGCATTTGTAGTTTTATATTATATATATATTATATATATATATTTGTAATTTTTAATTTTTATAATGAAATTTATCAAATTCACAATCAAAAAACAATCAAAATTAAAACAAATAAGAAAAATAGAAACGAAATCTGATCTAATAGAGATATCAGGTTTATTAGAAGTATATTAGATTTATCAAAAAATCATTGGTAATCGCTTTTTGTTTTGAGAGATCGGATAATCGAGAAATTATTATAATGTTTGGTGAAAGTTTGTTAACCTGAATACTTCAGGTTTCATTTAAAAGCGACATTTATTCCGATTTCTGACAGTTACACATTCTTCTTCGTTGTGTGAGCATCGTTTTTTATTAGATATAATTTTTTTACTTGTAAAAAAATTTACATCAATTTAATACTTTTTAATAATATTAATATTAATAAGTAATGAATAAGTAATTATATTTAATTTTTAAATGAAAGATAATATATTATTTCTTTAAATTGATATTATTAATTTATTTATTTTAATTCTTCAAATAAATTTAAAAAAAAATATTGCAATATAAATTATGATTTAACGAAGATAACTGTGACTTATAACGAAGATAATAATCTTTTCTAACATATAGTATAAAATTTGTTTATTTTTAATCAATTTAAATTATCAATTGAAATACTTATTAATATATATATATACATTGTTTCATGATAAAACTTATTTTAAAATAATAAAATTTTCTTTTTTTTTAATAATTCATATTCATATTCTTACTACTCAATTAATCATAATCAATCCATACGGATTGAAAAAAAAATAATTTAATATTTTTTATATTTTATATTTTTTATAAATTATATCATTATACCGTTTCGTTATATTTAAATTTAAATAACTAATATTTAAATTTATTTTTACAATTAAAAGCTAAATAGTAAAGAATATTTTGTACTTATAAATTTTTATGTAGTCGAATGTTTTTTGAAATAAGTGGATTATTAATAATCTATACAATGAAATATACTAGTATTTTATATTTATAAGAATTCAAAAAATATTTTTTATAAAATATTATTATTTTATGATAAATATTTTTAACTTTTTGTATGTTTTTTACCATATTTTTTGTTTTTTTTTTGATGATTTTTTTACATTTGATAATTCAAAAAATATTAATCATGAATAATTATGAATATCAAATAATATTGTTTTATTTATTATAATATTATTATTGAATTTTTATATTTTCTTGACATAAATTTATTTTATAGATTAAAATACACAAGGATGACTCTTGAACCACCAAAATATGAATATTTGAACAAAGAAAATACAAAAAAAATGTTAAAAATATTTAAGGGTGAGAGAACAGGTTGGGTGCTTGTAGGTGCAAAAAAATGGTTTTTCCCTCACAAATATACAATAGAAGGTAAAGGATTTTATAACTTTAAGGCTAGACCAGATGATATTTGGGTTTTATCTTATCCTAGATCCGGTAAGTAATATGTTTTTAAAATATGTTTTGTTATTAACGATAATGAAATTAATTTTTATTTTTAACTCAATTTTATTATATTAACACTTAATATTTATGTTATATACATTATATTTTATATATTTTTTCGTTAAACTATAAAAGAATTTATTATTATTTATTTAAAAGATCAGCAATAATAAAGATTTAAAACTTTGAATAGTACAGGTACAATCGATACAATTCGATTATTACGATTATCGACATTTTTTCATGTATAAATATTAGCAATAACAATAAAGTTAATTATTCGTTTTTAAATAATTAAAAAAATTTTTTTTTGTAGGTACAACATGGACTCAAGAATTAGTCTGGTTATTATCAAATGATTTAGATTTTAAAAGAGCAAGGACAGAACTTTTAACCGAACGATTTCCATTTCTTGAGTAAGTATAATTAAAATTATAAAATCAAATTAAATTAAATAAAAAATTTTAATTAAAGATATATATAAAAATTAATTTTTGTCAATGATATAACGATTTTAAAAATTTATTATGGATTATAAACAATAATTAATAATATAATAATGCATATATATAATATAATATTTATAAATAAATCAATTATAATTTATGTAATATTACGACTAATAATTATGTGAGTATATCATTCATTAAAAATTATATAACTTATTTGTTAATAATAATCTATGATCAAAATTGCATGCAAATAACATATAATTATATTATTAGAAAAGGAAATAGAACGGAATAAAACATTAATAATATTGTAAAGTATGTGAAACTATTTATTAATATTTTCAATAATTAAAATCTAAAATCGTATAAATTACATATACAAAATATTCGTCTATAGATACAGGAAAAAAATTCAAATTTTCGTCTAAAATTTAAAAAATGATTTTAAAGTTATTATTTAAAAAATTAAAAATGAACAAAATTTATTTTTGGCTATATTTTTCAATTGTTATTCATAAATAAAGGTTGATAAAAATATCTTTAGATACGAAGAAATCTCTCTATTCGAACGAATATAAAATAATTAGGAATAATGATTTATTTAATGACAAATAAATATCAACTTATCTTATACAAAATATAAAAAAGAAAGTAAAATTAAATACTATAATTTGAAGATGACTGTGCTTCCTGTTATTTAAGCTGCTGTATATTCATTTTTAGTTATTAATAATTAAAAAACAAAATCAAAAATATAATTTTTTTATTTTGATTTTTTTAATTTGATGTGAAGAATTTTTTATATTTTCAAATTTTTATCTAGTTGAACACTCTGTTTGTTATATTACAAAATATTTGCTTTATGTAAAAGATCTATTATCATTATAAATATTATTTGTAGATTTAGCATGTTCAATCATCCTGAGGTAACGCGTGAATTTTTAGAACTAAATAAAGGAGATAAAGATAAAGAAAAATTATGTAAAAAAATTGCACAGCCAGGATATGATATCTTAGAAAAAATACCTTCTAAGAGGTTTATAAAATCACATTTTCCATTTAGTTTATTACCCAACATTTTAGAAAGTGGTTGTAAGGTAGATTTATAATAAATTTATATTTACAAAAATAACTTATATTATTATTTTTCATTATATAATTTTATTCAAAAATCACATTTTCTGATTCAAGATAATATATATTGCAAGAAATCCAAAAGATGTTGCTGTTTCATGGTATTATCTAAATAAAGCAATTAAAACCCAAGGATATATAGGTGATTTTACAACATTTTGGTATTACTTCCAAAATAATCTTAGTGAGTTTTATTAAATAAGTTTTAAAGTATTCATATTAAATATTAATAAAAAAAATAAAAAAAATTTTATAAAATATTAAAATTGTTTAGCACCATGGAGTCCCTATTGGGAACATTTGAAGGAAGCATGGACACATAGAAATCATCCAAATGTTTTATTCATGTTTTATGAAGAAATGCAATATGTAAGTTAAATATTTGAAAGCTTAATTTTTGAAATTTCTATCATTAATATATTTTTTATATTTTTGAATCTTTTTTATAATAGGATTTTTCAAAAGCAATTAAAAAAATTGCTAAATTTCTTGGAAAAAATTATACTGAGGAGGAAATAAAAAAAGTAGAAGATTATTTAAATATTAAAAATTTTCGAAACAATCCAATGGTAAATTTATCAGAATTAAAAAAATGTGATATTATAACATCAGGAACATTTGTTAGAAAAGGCCAAAATAATGGATGGAAGGATATGTTCACTGAAGAACTTAATGCTATAGCTAATAAATGGATAGAAGAAAATTTGAAAGGAAGTAATTTTAGTTTTCCTTATTTTAATGATCTTAATAGTAATCTTAATAGTAACTGTAATTAATATTTAATATTTTATTTTTGAAAATTTAATGAAATGTTTAAAAAATTATGTATTTTAATAATATATATTTATAATTTTAAATAATATTAATATATAAATAGATAAGTTTATTATAAATCTTATTTTATAAAATAAAACAATATATAAAAGATAAATAAATATTTTTTGTAAAAATGATTTTATTAATGTAATTGAGATGATTCACTTGTACATTTTACATTTATACGTACAATTACAGTAGTTCTAAATGCATGACGTAATTCCTTTTCTACATCAAATGCTAAGCACTTAATTTTATGAGATTTCATTTTTAATAAAGTTCTTACATATCTTTGTTTAGGACAATCTAATGTTAAAAGAGTATTAATATTGTCATCTCCAAACTCTAAATGGTCAATTATTATTTTCACTTTATATGGCATTTCATATGGAAGTATATTCAATAACTTAGCCCTAACTGTTTGTTCTATTATAGTTTTAGTTGATTGATCAGTATAAAATTCCTCCTTATACTTCCAATTTTTTACTTTAGCTATATCAAGCAGATAAATCTAAAAATATTTAAATACATGCATGTATATATTTAATCATTAATAATTACATTATTATTGTAATATATTTATATATTACCCTTAAATCATCCACTCCATCTCCACTTAATGCAGATATCATAAAAATATCATCAAATTTTGGATAATTATCATTATTTGTTAACATTCTTGTAAGGTCTAATAATACTTTTTTTTTTTTTAATTTATCTATTTTATTAAAAATCATCAATAATGGTTTATCTTCCACTTTATTTTTTATATAATTAAGAATAAAATCGTCCAATTTATATCTAGTATATACATTAGTTACATCTTGTATTATTCCAATAACATCTGCATCAGTGATGGCATTTTTAGGATCTTCACTAAATGTTTTTAATAATTTGTAAGTTTTAATTTCTTTAGACATTACTAATCCTGGAGTATCCATGAATATAATTTGTGTATTTCCCTCAGTATATATTGCTTCTGCTTTGTGCATTGTGGTATGTACTTTTGAAGATGTTGGACATATCTTCATCAAAAATATTTTCTTTTAAAAATTAAACTATTAAAATAATAAATAATTCAAATATAAATTAGAATACATACAGATCTACGTATAAGTTTATTCACTAATGTACTTTTTCCTGCATTTGGTAAACCCAGAATTGCAACTTTCAACAATTTTTTATTCTCCTGATATAATTCTGATTTATGATTTAATTTTGAAGTAATATTTTCTTGATTATTGGTATTCGAAATACCAGAGAAGAAAAAAAATCGTTTTAAAAAATATAATTCAGATTGAAATACGTATTGTTTAATCTTAAATTTTATCATTTTAATAAAATTATAAATTTGTTATACATTAAAATATTAAAATTACAAAAAAACAAATAGGTTAGACCTTAACGTGCATATAAATTCTTTTTGTTTTTAATAATAAACTAAAATTAATTTATCAGAATTATTTATAAATATTTAAATATCATTTTTTCGTGATAAAGTGTATATATATATAATATACAACAATTTAAGTATAATTGAGAAATAACATAATTCAAAAACACATTTATAAATTATACGTAGTTTATAATACATATAGTTCATTTCAGCCATTTGATTTTAAAATCATATAGATATATATGTGTATATATATAATTTTAAATTTTTTACATCATCTTAAACTTAACAATATTTTTTCTAGTCATCAAAAGTTTAACATTATGATAAATAGAAAGATATTAAAAATTTTTAAAAATTGATCTAAATAATTTTTGTAATAAATAAATTAATTTAATAAATAAATCTTAATAAATAATGTAAATAAATATAAAATATATAAATATTTAAAATGATAATGAATAATGTTTATATTTAAAATATTTAAAAAAAATTTTCATTTTTTTCAAATAATAAATGTATTGAATAAGATAAATATATTATATACATTTTTTAAATATATAAAATTTTTACGAAATAATTAAATATTATAAAATAAAATAGTTAAATATTATTTAAAAATAATTAAATATTATAAAAAAAAATGAAATTAAAAAATAAGATAATGATTTATAAATCTATAAAGAAAAATACAATTTATTTTTAAACATTTAATTTCATTTTGAAAAATTAATTTTGTCCATATTTTTATTTATGTGTTAAATATTTCATAAATACGTATATATATTTCGTTAGTGTTGGTATACCTGATTTTAAATTGATAATGATAAAAATTCAAGCTGCAGTTTGATCGGGTATTGACGTATGTATTCGAATACATGTTATCATTTTATTTCGAATTTGCTTACAATGTTTTTTAATGCAATTAAAATTATATAAAATAAAAATATATTTTTAGAAAAATTAAAAAAATTTTTTTTATAAATAATGAATCTCAGAAATATTATGGTGCGATGCATCGATTTAAAATGTACAAGTAATGGAACTTGAATTAGAAACATCTGCAAGCTCATTGTGAATACATTTATGACACTGATAAAGGAAAGTTTTCTATAATTGATTTTCAAAAAAGTTTGTAATAATGGATCTTTAAAACGATACGAATAGAGCATGCATTTCTGGATTAACAAACCGGCGGGCAGATATTACGGTTTCACTGGCCACCGATGCCCCGCCACACCTTTACCAAAAACACGCTTTAGTAAGAAAATTCAACAAATTTTTAAATTTTTCGATTTTTTAATTCATTTAACAATATTATATTACATTATATCATTTAATAATTTTTTTGAATTTTGATTTAATTATAGTTTTTTTAAATTTAAAACTTTAATATTCATTTAATTGAAAAAAGTAGAAAAATTTTATATGATTTCATTCTACATTTATTATTTTTATAGATCAATGTAGATATAATGCAGATATGAGACAAATGTTTACACCACTTCATCGATTTCAAAATCTGAATACTATGGGAAATATAGCTGGTCCTAGTAACATGAATAATTGCAGAATGCTAAGAACAACAATAAGAACAAATAATGAAAATCAAAACAATTTTCCAGTTGGCTCTACTCAACATTCTCAACTGAACAACATCTCCAAGTAATTAAAGAAAAAAGGTCTACTAAGAGGAATCTGAGGAACATGTTCTTCTTATATACAGGGTGACTCACTTATACATGTCTATCATCAGAAAGTATTTATAAATGATTCGCCCTTCATAATGAATAGTTGTATATAAGTAATGAGTCTTTAAACTATTATAAGAAGAATAACAGTTAAAATATCAAACTTTTGTATGTTTATAGTAATGTAACAACTGCAGGAAATAATCAATTGATATTATCAAATACTACATCAAATGGAACAAATAGAAGTCTTTTAGATTTTTCGGAATTTAATGATGCAGAACTTGCAAGTTATAGATTACGATGTGGTGTTTGGATAACATTTGTACTTGCAGCAGGTTTTGTTGCTGCTGCAAAATTTTATTTTGGAGACAAGGTAGATTGAAATTGAAATTGAAATGTTTTTCATAATTTTTAATTTTTTTTTTTAATTAATATTAAATACTTTTTTCAAGGGTCAAGGTATAGAAATATTTATATTTTGGGGGCTATTAACATTATCATTATTTGCGTGTTTATACTCTATTTTATATTGCCGAAATCAACGTAACAGTCATGAAGAGCATCAAAGTCAAGAAGAACATATTGCGTCTACAACTACAATGCCCAATGAAAATATTAGACCTATTTCTGTAGTAAGACAGAATCCACCACCACCTTACCATATTGCTATTTTGATTCCACCAAGTAATTCATCGGATGAAGCTCCACCACCATCTTATGACAAAGTTATGCGATAAAGTAATATAAAGTTGTATAAAATTCTATCACTATTTTTTCATATATTACATTTTGTAAACATAAATTGATGCTCATAAAAAGTTCGTCTCTAATTATATTAGTAAGTACTTTATTATCGAACTTTTAATTTGCAAATAAAAAACTAAAAAGTTAATATTAATTTTTCTAGGCTAAGTAAACTTTTACATCTGTGATACAAGTATTAATATAACATCTTGATAACATTTGTAATTCAAATAAAATATAGAATTACTTGTAACATCCAGGGCATTATACAATATCTGAATTAAAAAATTAGTATGATGTCCATGATAGTTTATGTCTAATATAATATAATGTATATTTTTCTTTTTTATAAATAAATGCTTATAATTTATTTAAGCAAAAGACAAATATACAAAATGATTATGGTGAAAGAATACATTTCTTTGCTTATAAAAAATTTTTTCATAACATAAAGAAATCATTATACTATGATATAATTATAATTAACATAAAATTAATATACTCATTTATTTATAAAATGAAATTATTATACAATAAAATAAAATTTAAATTTAAAATTATAGAAAAAATAAATATAAAATTATATTTAATGCAGACTGTCCACTCTTTCCACAATTTACCACATGTAAAATGAATTTATAATCTTTTAATATGAATTAAAATAATTAATAAAATATTAATTCTATTGTATAATGATTAATAAAAGTATAAGTTAATTATAATATACGTATTTTATAATATTTGATTATATATTTATACATAATATAAGGTAAGTGTATATATACACGTTAGTACGCGCGCACATACATACATATTTTTCTTGTCGATATTAAAACTGTTTATATACGTAAATGAAAGTTTACATAGTAATTTTGTTTTGTATTTGAAATAAATTTATATAATATATTATTATATAGAATATTATATTTAATATTTATAAGTAATTATAATTTTCAAGCTATAATCTTGCAAATCAAAGTATAGCTTGAATCGAAGAAAATATTAAATTTTTATTTTATTATTTTTTCAATTTGGTTTGTACCAAATTTGTTAAAAATATCAAACTACATTATACTTATCATGTAATAAATAAGAGCAGATGTTTATTTTGTTGTGGTAAAGTGATTACATATTATTTTATTATTAAACTTATATATTAAAAGAAAATTTTAATATAAAAGAATATATTTAAAGAAAATTTTATTATTAAATTTATATATTAAAAGAAAAATATTTCAATCTTAAAATACAAATATTGAGATTGTATAAATGCAATTAATATATAAATATATAGAAATATATTTTAATATATAGAAATATTAAAATACATAAGAAACATTAAAGTTTCTAAATTTTAATATTTCAAAATCATTTTCTTTATATGATTTTTTTTTGTTTGCTATATAAATAAACAAAATATTTTTATAAAAAATCATAGTATTAACAAACTAACTTATTAAATTTTTCAAATTAAAATAAAAGATAAAATTATATGTATTTAAAAAGAAATAATATTAATTTTTTTTTTAAGTATTTTAATTATAAAATAAATTTACCTAATATATTAGATATATCTAGATATTTAATATATGGTTGTTATTTTTAAAATTCTAATAAATAAATATAGTTCATATTATAAGATTAGAAATCTAATAATTTAAATACATAATTAAAATATGTGAAACGAACAAAAAGGAACTCCATTTTCTAATTTTCAAAACATTAAAAATATAAAAAAAAAATTATCAGTGCACTTAAAATTTAATAAATTCATTTGTTACTTTTATATTTTTATATAATTTTAAAGCATAATAAAATAAAAATATTACGAAAACAGATAATATTTGTATTTTAAATAATATATTATGCATAATAGTGTGAATTATCATGTCTTTCAAAATTTTTATTACTATTACACAGATTTACAGACTAATACATTACATTTCATTTATTTTTAATAAATATATTATAAATATTCAGTAATAAAAAATAAACAATTGAGTAATATTCTTTTATTGAAAATATTAAATTGATGAAGGAAAAAAAACTATATCATTGATTAAATATATTTACCAATTTATCAATTTATATATTTATGATTTTGTGATGGCACTTATATAATAACAAGTATTTATATATTTATTAATGAAAATTGAGAATTATAATATGTTATAGTTTTCCATAATTAATATTTGTAAAATCAATTCTATAATTCTGTGTAATAGACTCATAAGAAAGATTATATTTGTGAAAATGTTATTTACTAGTTACTGAAGTGTTAAAATAAATTATCATTGGGAGCAACTTAATAATAATAAATAAATTACTGAGATTTTTTTCTTTATACTAAGAAAATAATATTTCAAGGAAAGATAATATATAAATTTCAATATTAAAGTTAATAATAATTTGCTTAATATTCATTGCATTTAGACTCTTTGGATTTCAAATAACTTTACATCAGTATCATACCATATCGGTGGTTCAACATTTCTTAAATATATAACGCCCCACATATATGTTCTAAACCAAGCAGTTGTTCCTGCATTTGCTTGATATCTTCTAATAAGAATAGGATGCGGTACTGGTAACAAGCCAACTAATGTACCATGTTGTAAAAATTTCAAAATTTCACTTTCATCTGTAAGACCTCTGAAATATTTAATAAGATAAATGTACATTTATAATTTATAATAAAAAAATTAAAAAAAAAAAAGATAAATTATACTTACTTATCAATGCATATTTTTTCAACTTGAGGTACAAGAACTTGAAGTAATCGCATAATAGTTTGTAACGGAAGTTTAGTTTTCCATTGATATACCCATTCGCTAGAAGGAACCCACTGATTTATATTGTTAGAAGAATTATGTTCTGCCACTCTAATACCTCCTTTCTATTTAATTATTAAAACAAAATATAAATAGTTTATGAATATTAAATATATTCATTGATTATTTATACCATTATAATCTTACTGGTATAACAGAGTTTTTAGTAGAATTCATTAAATCTTCTGTAGAGCTTACATTGTTTTGATGATTAGACTTTCCTACATCAATATTTACTGAAGGACTTAATGGATGTGCAGATTCTTTTTCAGTCATTTTTTCAATACCTTTGAAATAATTATCAATTATTCAATATAATATATTGAATAATCAAAAGATATTAATGTCAAATAATGAATAATAAAATATCAGAAATTTACCTGGGGTTTCTAATAAAGTTGCTTTTAAAGTTCCAGGTTCTGCAGGTTGTGCAGGATGTGAACCTTCCATTGCTGTTTCATTAACATTTTCATTAGATGTACTAGCAGGTACATGACGACGTTGTCTTTTACTGAGAGACTTTGCAATTGTATTACAATCACTTGGTAAATTTGCTAATGCGTGAAAGACTTGTCTTTTGCGTATTATAGTATAAACCAAGTTACTATTTCCATCAAATTGATACTAATAATAGCAAAATGAACTTTGTTAATTTTCATTTTATTTTAAATTTAAAAATCTTTTTCTATAAAAATTACCTGAATAATATTGTTAAAAATTTCTAAAAGAAAAAATACTAAATGATGATTAGTAGGTGCTGAAAATAAAAACCATGGAGTGCTAAATGCTTCAAGCAAATGTAATAGCTTAGTACTAGCCACCATTGATAGTGTTTTAAGATATGGAGATACATTGACTAGAATTGTTAGTAAACAATCGAATAATGGCTGTAATCTTTGGTGTCCAGTTGTAATTATCTTGTGAAAAACAGTGACTAGCAAATCAGCATGAGTACCTGTAAGTATTTAATAATTAAAAAAATATCACATTGATAAATAGAATGTATTAATATTATAATACCTGTAAAAACAGGAATATCCATAGGTACTGTAGCTGTATATGGTTTATTCAATCTAACGCCGAAATTACGTTCTCCACTTAATAAAAGTAAAATAAATACACCGATATGCATTAATCCGACACGAGCTGCAAAATTATATTTAATTATTATATGTAATAAAAGTATTTATTTAAATTTTATCAATTTGTTCAAGATTATAATTATTTAATTCATCATTTACATTGATCGGCACGCGAATCATTTAAATGATACAATATAGGTACTAATACTTCAAGAACATCTGAACTTTTTAGTACATAATATAAAAATTTCTTGTTATAATCACACATTTTCCAAAAAAATACCAATAATTCTTGGTGAAAATGTACTTTTTTAGTTGAATTTGGTAAATATGTCTGCATTAATGGATTATTTAATAATCTCGTAATACCTTTCAATACAAACTGAAAATCTGAAAATTTAAAAATAATAATTTATCTGATTATTTGTTCAAAAAACATATAATTAAATATAAATTTTACCTTCATCTCGATGAATTCGACTTAAATAATTAATGAATAAATTATCTCCAATATTTCCTTCTTCTAATGAAGTACTACCACTGGTATCATGATCTAATGTTACTATAAGAATTTGTAATGCAACATCAACTAATGGTTCTAACGAATCAGTAAATAATAAATGATTGTATGGCACTCCAAGTCCAACAGGATCATATGCACATACTGTATTCAATAATGATGTAAACATAGGCAAAGCATGTCTGTATTAAATATGAACATTTTAAACTAATTATTTTTATATTTTGTTATACACTAATAATAAATTTATATTAAAAAACATTTTAATTTACCTATTTTCAGAACTAGTTAAGTGTTGAATCCATTTGTTTGGAGTAACTGATAAATCCAGAGGAGGATTGTACATGGTTTCACTGAAGCAAGTTAATAATAACTTTAGTAACTCTGTTCTATTTGAATCTAAAATTGGATATCTAGGAGGTGAATGGGCAAATCCTACACCAGCTTCCCAGATATATTCACAACTATCTATAGATTGTAATTCTTCTGCTTTATCCTAAAAAAATTCCAAAAACATTTTAATAATTACTAATATAATATTCTAAAAATTCTAATAATATAATTTATATATATATTATAATTTTATATAAATATAAAAAAATACTTACAGGACCAGACTTTTTATTTGCAGCTACTGTAAAATCAGGACAAAATAAGAGATCCTAAAGTAGAAATATAAATATAATTATAATTATAAATATAAAGTAGAAATATAAATATAATTATAATATATTCTAATATTTTTTATTATTTTCAAAAATATATCTTACACAAAGAGCATTAAGTAAAGAATGAGCTAAAGGTACACTTTCTTCATCTTCTTTACCAGGTAAACTAGACCAAAAGAATCCCTTCCAATCAGCATCCTCAAAAATATAAGGTAATAATCTTGTTAATAAACGACAACAGTTTAAAACAGTTTGTTGTTCTCTTTGTGTTCTGCAACTGTTATCAACTGCTTTCACTAATTTCTCCACTGCTTTATAACATAATGTGGCTAAATTTGAAGGGGCTTCTTCTCTTAATATACGAATTTCAGGTGCAGGAATTAAAGTAAAAATATCTTGTACATTAGTGACATTTTCAGACCAAAATTGATCCCAGAAATTATCATCTGAAGCGTCGATCACCTACAATTACGAAAGAAAAAAATATATTTTTTAACCTATAGTGGCAAATTATAATTTATTAAGCAATTTTTATTAAATTAAAAAAAATATAAAGTAAAATAATAATATTTTATAAAAAAAATATAAATATTATATATCTATTTAAATATCTTTTATTGATTTAAACAATGCAAAAATTATATATATTTGGAATTGATTTAAAATGTCAAACATATCATATGCTATTGAACAAAATGATAAATAACAATTTTCACCTGCGTTTTTGATGTCAGTTGTACAACTGCTTTTCGAAAATTTAATTTTGTGTCAGCATTTCCCATGTTTTTCTATATTTTTTATAAATTTAAAGTAAATAGTTTAGTGATGAATCATAAAAATGACTTATTTCTCTTTAAACTAAGACGATTACGGTCGCTGCCATATTTATGCCTTAAAACAATGTTGCCAATATAAATTTTTTTTTTTGAATTATAATTTTTTTCTTCTATAGTAATATATATTATAAATAATATAGATGGATATATATTTGTATTATCAAATTATAAATATATTATACAAATAAGTAATACTTTTTTTTGAATAAAGATTTTATTAAATTTGAATACTTACAAATTACAAATTGCTTATATTTTAATGTTTTAAGATTCTAATAACTTATCTTATAGATAAAAATTTAAATATTTTATTTTGATATATTTCATAATTATTCTTTTGTAATTGTAATTGTAATTCTTGTAATTTTTTTGATTTGTAATTGTAATATATCTTTAATTAAATGTTTTTATATATTCTTTAATATTTTAAAAAAGAATATTTAAAAAAAAATGAAATAGTTATATCAATTATTATATCAATTATTATAGCAATTTTCATTTATTTTCTATACTTTCCTTGAATCCATACTCTATACATTTTAAGTTGTTTTCCTCTATTAATTTGTAATCTTCTATCTACAAGATTTTGTTCTTCTATAAAACCACAACTTGTAAATAATATCCTAATTTCTTCTGTAAATAAATATTTTATTTATTTATTATTTTATTTATTACTTTTATATATTATTTATTAAATATCTAATTTAATATTAAATTAAATACCTTGTGTAAAAAAATACACTCTAGTTCCATCTCCTCGAACATAAAAATTGTTTGCAAGGCAACTACCTTTTTTAAATCTTAATTGAGCTAAATCATATCTTCCATAATCTCGAAATAAAACTAATCCACCTGATTTTAAATATTTGTGGACTTGTTCTATAATGTGTTTCATTCTGCAGAAATAAATTATAATTCATATATATAATTGTTATATAATGCTATATAATTATATAAATGTTAATTTTTTTTAATTATAAAGTTTTAATTATAAAAATATATATACTTGATAATAATAAATATATTTACTTTTCAGGATTAATAGCTGAAAGAACAAATATCAGCACAATAATATCTAAACTTTCTGGTTCAAAAGGAGTTTGCCATTTTTCTTGTGTTACATCAAGAATAAATGCTTTACATCTTTAAAATAAATAATGTCATTTAATATTGTTATAATGTGTTATTTAAAATGTTATAAGATTATACCTCGATGTGTCATAAGCAGAATTCTGTTTCAATATATCTAATGCTTTTGCAGAAAAGTCACAGCAATATACAAATAAGTTTGCATCTGTGTTATACAAAAGTATTGGAAATACTGTATTTCCTACTCCACAACCAATTTCCAAAATTTTATTTCCATTTTTATTAGGTAAATCAAGGATATTTTCATAAGTTTCTTGACCATTTTTTTTTATGTTTTCATTTTTAAATCTTAGAGGTTGTTTAATATTTTGTTTTACAATATCAACAGCTAATTCAGGAAATTCTGTAAATAACCAATGTCTATCTTTGAAAAATCTGTAACATTAAAAATGAAAATTTTTTTTCATAATTATTAAAAAAAAAAAAAAAAAAAAAAGAAATTATTAAAAATTATTATATTTATTTCATAATTTAAAGAAATTATTAATAATTGATCTATGTACTTATTTTCATGTATTCCATAAAACTTATCCCAATATTTATAAGCCTCATGTTCATATTCCCAAATTTTTTTATCTGACATAGTTATGCTTGAGTTTTCATTTACTTTTTGTTTTGCTAAATTTTGCTGTTCTTCATCCCATATAATATTATCCCTTTAAATAATAATTTAAATAATAGAAATTATATATAATAAACGAAAATAAGTTTAAGTTTAACAATTAATTATATTAATTATAATTAATGATTAATGATTATATTAATTATGATTAATTTTTATACAACAATTTTATTTAAAAGTATTTTATAGGTTATACTTATAAAACTTTAATATTACAAATTAAATACTAAACAATAATATATAAATATATATATTAAATAATAATATACCATGCATTATGTTGAAATACATTGTTATTGTTAGAAAGAGTTCTGTTACCAAATTGTGGTCTTTTGTTATTTGATTCATTCTGTTGAAGTTTTGGTATATCTTCTTCCATCTTTGTACCACGTGTTTTCTATAACATCTTATATAAATATATGTTTAAGTATATATATATATATATATTAAGTAAACATGTAAGTATGTTTATATATAAATATGTTATTTCCTATTAAAAAATTTTACATCAAATGAAAAAATTGATAAAATATAATATAAAATAATATACATAAGATAAGTTGCTAAATAACAATCCTTTTATTATAATAAAATATTATATAAAATTATATGAAACAGAGTAATATATAATAGATTTTATAAAAGAATGTCATTATTTTTATAATATTTTATTTTAACTATTTAAAAATACTTTTTTTTAAATTACAANAGATATAGGTTGAGGGCATGTGGTATGCGGAAACAGGATGGGTGTGACGCAAAGGGTGCAAGTTAAGGGTGATATGTTGCATCATTAGATTGGTACTTCAAAGATGAACGAAATTATAGATATTATTATTAATTTACAGTTTTCTCAAAATTAATATTATCTTGATAATATAATATTATTTATAAAAATTGTATACTGTAAAACTGTATTAGTATATATTAGTTATTGAGTATTTTTAATATAAATGTATATATCAAATAATGATATACAAATATTAATTAATATTAAAACAATACGATTTTGTATAGAATTTAATATATTGAATACATCTTTCATTATTGTTATTAATAAAAAATAGTTTATTAAAATTAAAGAAAAAGATAATTAATTTTAGAAATATATATTATTATTTTATTATTTTATTCATTATAAAGATATCTTATTTGATATAGTAAATTATATAATAATTTATATAATTTATTATAATAATTACAATGTTCAAAACAACATATTCCAACAGTTTCATTGTGTATTAAAATAAATTTTAATTGAAAAATTATTAAAAATTATCGATTTAGATTCTTTAAAAAATATTAATTCACGACATTTTATGTGGCATTAAATAATAATATTGTATAATAGTAATAATATTACTAAATGTTAAAAGATTTTTCCGTTATTGCATGGTGTTTCATAGTTCGTCGTGGGTGGCTACCGTGATATCCTAATCCTAGCAAGTCCCTAGGGGTGAGATCGATACATTCATTTCTCTTTTCCTTATGTTTTCACAGGGGTTAGTATTCATCGATTTCGGAATTGGAAGAAAACTTAAGAAAAGTGAAATTAAAAATTTTTTGTAATAGATTTTTTTATATCAAATACGAAAAAATAAAAATATAAGACAATAAATAAATATTTATATTATTAACACAAAGATATATTTTAATAAAGTATTCATAAAAAATATTTTCAATTTTTATGTTTAAAATATATAAAAATTAAAATAATATATAAAATAAAAATAAAAAAATAATATAATATATTTTGTATATTGTAATAATCATAAATGTTTAACTAAATATACTATTATTAATATTATCATTGTAATTAAAATAAAATAAAATATAATTAAAAATAATTTTCGAAACATTATTATAAAGAATAAGAATATTATTATTTGAAAATTATATGTTTTTTTAATAATAAATTTCTAGAAAATAAAAAGAAAAAAAAATTGTGTTGATAAAAGCATGAATAAAAAATATAACAAAAAAAATATAACAAGAAGATTAAAAGCAAAGATCGAATACAGAGAATTAAAAATGAAAAAAGACAAATAAAAACAATAAAATAATTTCTAGATTTCTTGAAGATGAAGATTTAAATTATTATAAAAGATTTATATAAAGATTGTTTTATATATTTTATATAAAGATTAGTAAAATCTTATTAAATGAATATTAAAATCATCATTCACAAAAGTTTTTTTAACTTTTCTACATATGATACTTAAATACAAAATCAATTTTAATTTTCCATTATTATATTATTATTAAAATTCAAAAAGAGAAAAGAGAAAAAAAAATTAAGTGACAAAAGATAGAAATCTAAGATAGACATCTAATAAATTTAATTATCAATTAAATTCAAAAGCATTGATTACTGTTGAGAAATTTGTAGAAAAGAAGGATTTTCGTGTTGAGAAATGCATATATATATATACATGTATCGAAATAGAAAAGAATATAGAAAAAAAATGAAAGACACGAAAAAGAAAAAGAAGACGACTAAAAAAAGATAAAAATGAAGATAGGGCAGGGAGAAATGCAGAGATTGGACAAAGAAGCAGGAAAAAGAGAAAGAGAAAAGAAGATAGAAAATATGAGAGGGAAAGAAAGAAGAGTGAGTAGAGAACTCTGCGCGCCGCAGCGCTACGGGGTGGTTGCCCTCGTCTGCGCTTTGTGGGAAATGCCCGCTCAATAACGCGTAGAACCTCGTCTGCCCCTTCTCACCCTCGGAGACATCACAGCAAGGGCCACTGCCCCAAAAGGCATGGCCAACCCTTATCCTATCTCTCTCTCCTATCCATAAGATATTTTTTGAATTTTTTTTGTTCTTGTTCTATTCTTTCTTCTCTTCCTTTGAGCGTCTAATATAATAAAAATGTCCTTTATCCTTACATATTATTGTCGAGAAAATAAGATGAATTAATAAACATCATTGCATCAAATTGTAGATCAAATGTATACATTATATTTGTTTCTTTAAATTAATCATTATATAAAATAAAATGATCATTAATACAAAATGAAACTTATGAAAGAGAAAAAGAATAAAATCTAAGGAATGAAAATTTTATTTTAAGGAATTAAGATTACAGATAATTCAAAAATCATTATTAATATTATATATAGTATTACATTACAAATATAATACTAATATATTAATATATATATATATAAATATATATATATATATATATATTATAATATTATGTTCATTCTTTATTAATAAATAAATACTATTTTTTTCATACATAATTTAAAAATTTTTTTAATGTTTGCTTGTCTCGTCATAAATAATATAAATTAAAGTAATAAAATTGTTTAAAATTTAAATTGATAATTTAATGATAAATAAAAATCAATTACTTTTAATATGAAATACTAAAAAAATACAGAATATAAAAAATACAAGAATATAAAAAGATGATTCTTTTTATTATGTTATTTTTTTAAAATTTATTTTAGAATGATTTTTTATGTACATTGATAAATAGAACAGATGTAAAGATATTTAATTGCATTTTTGCATTTTAATTTTTTGAGAGAAAGTGGTCGATATCTATCCAGTATTCCGAGTTATTTCACCCTCGTTCTAGGTATGGTGGAACCCCCAAAGATCGTTCGGGCAATGACCTCGAGATTATATATTCTGCTACTATAGGATGGTACAGGGTTATTTTCCCTGAATTTGTTCACGGCCTATATTTTTTATCAAATTATATTAAAATGTTATATTAAAAAAACTGAAATATTTGTTAAAAAAAATAAAAAAAATAATAAAATAAAATTGATCATAAAATAAAAAATATACATTAATAAAAACAAAAAGAAATTAAGAAATTTTTTTTTGGAGTTATTTAAGAATAAATATTGATATTATTTTTAAGAAATAAAAAATATTGAATTTAAACAATTCATTCCAATATTAATTTTTGTGTTTTACAAAAAATATAAAAAAGACCATATCATTTATCGAATTATTTGATAATTCTTTTCATAAAAGATTGTCATGAGTAATAATTTCATATCAAAGAAAACAAATTAGTATCAGTTATAGTTTTCGTGGCGGATGGCATTTATAAGTCATGTTTGCTATATTCACCATCTACCGGATCAATAAATACTCTTCTTGTTTCATAGGAACTATTTCCTTCTGTCCAAACTCTATGTATTATGATAATATCTGACATTTACAACAATGTATAATTATATTAATGCATTCTAATAAAATACAATATGACATTCTAAATATCAGAAAATAATATCCTTTTTTTCAAGAATTAATAAATGCAATAAATTTGTTTAAAGTATAAATATTTGTTTAAAATGAAAATAATAGAAATAAATTTAAATGAATTTATATATTAAATGCAGTTTGCAAATGAATTCAGAAATGATAAAAATTTAAGATCTTAAATAGTAAATTATATCTTGCAATATCTCGTAATTCGTAGTTAACAAATTTAAATCTAATAATAAGTTCATTTTTAAAGCGAAAATAAATTTTAAATTCTATAAGAACTTTTAATTTTCATTTTTTCATTTTAGTCTATTTTATTTTCAAATTATTCGAATGATCAACTTATATAGAAATCAAAAAATGATATTTCCCATTTTTCTTATTTCTTTTAATGATATCGATTGTATTTATATCTGAAAGAAATTTATTGCTCTTATCAAAGAGATATTAATAGGAATAAATGGTTAAGGGATTCAACGATCGATATGTTCATTACATATCACTTTATGAATAAGAATTTTTGAGATATATTAGAAAAAAGTCCAGAGAAAACAAAAACTATCTATACTTTGGTCGGAATAAGTTGGATTTTACAGCATGCGTGCAAATAGATGCGTAGATACCGACTGCTCGTATCTATTTATAACGGCGACGGATCGCGAGGCAATTGACCGCGTGGCCTTGACTTCCTGTTGACCCAAGTGCCCCTAGGGAATTTTAGCGTACATCGTGGAATTTCTTACCACAATATTCGAGCATCTTGTCTAACCATCTTTTTCAATACTATATTCCATATATAGTATTTGCAAAGATATATTAAATAAATATATAATATTCATGTTTAAAATTACTAACTAATATTTGAATGTATCTTATAAACTACTTAAAAAAAAGAAAATTAAAAATAATCTATTTATCTATTATTTATTAATCAATAAATGATATTGATGATTGATCGAATGCAATATCTATATAGAAACGAAAACTTTTATTTGATATTTATACGGTCTTTAATAAGTATTATTTTCAATCTTTGAAATGTAATCAATAATATAATAGATATAATAGAACATGTTTATAGCATTATATAGCATAGCATCTATAACAATGAATTAAAGAATTAATATTAACATGAAAAATATAAA